AAGGGTTTCCCCAACATTTAGCTTTTGACATCTTAAAATCTCCGTGTGGTCATTTCTACCTGAACTCGGGAGCATGGTTATATTGGATACAGATGAGAGACTTGGTTTAGAAACAGATCCGAGAACTCGTCCTGGTGCAGGGACTACAGTTACCTTAATATAGACACCAGGGATAGATATATCTCAACTATCTTCGCCAAAACAACAACTAAAAATACATTACCCCTCCGATGGTATGTACGATTCAGGACGGTACCCTTTAAACCTTCATCTTAAAAAAAAATGAGGAAGCTATTTTCGTCTGTGTGCTAAATTTTGTTTATTCTGCTGCGTAAAATCCAAGAAAACTATACATAATCAGTTTTAACTTTTAGCATAGAAAAATGTGAATATTCTCATCATTTTAGTTCGGTCGAAGATAAAAAGGGAACCGTAGTGAATCGGTCATGCCCTTTCTCATAACGAAGGGTCCCATATAATAACGTTAACAATCCCTTTCGCATAATTTGTGATGAAGAAAAGATAAATGCTTTTATTCAATTTGTAGTGATTATTTTTCCTCGATTCTCTCAAATGTTTCTATGACCCGAAAAAAAAAACGTTTTTCGTAATCATTCTTTAACTTATCATGTATAATTATGAAGTTCTTTCAGCTATATATGCCACTTTTACTAATCAATCCATGATGACAAGCAACAAATTTATGTTAATTGCTGATATTGGCATGAAAAGGGCATTTAGTCAGGAGTTGGAAATTTTAAGTAGTTAGTTATTAATATGGAATGGGGAGGGGGGGGGGGCTATATTACGCTTTCATTCTCACCCCCCCCCCCATTCTCACAATAATTAACACACCATCCCTCCCTCAATTTCTCAATCCATATGTTGGCTTACAAAGGTTGAGAACATGTGGACTGAGAAATTGGGAGATTCCGTATAAATAACCCTAATCCCTTTTTATATATATATAATAGATCTCAATGACTGATATTTTGCTGCAGCCTGCTTAATTTCTCAATCACAACACTTAAAGCAGTAAGTTATCTATGGAATCCATAGTATGGATGTATAAACTGCCCCAAAAAAGTCCCTTTCGCTTGATGAATATGGACCTACGTACCAATGGAGGATGTGAAATGCTGCGTTGCTGAACTGACGAGGAACCAATGGAACCAATTGGAACTCTTTGTATGGAAGTTCCACCAACATTTGGGATCCTGAGATGAAAAAAAAAATAATTATGGTAAAGTTTTTGCAAATCTTTCCAGTGGCAAAAAATACTACGTGGTGTCCCACATCATCGCTTATAGCTCTAAATTGTGATTATAGGGACTAATCAGAATGAATCGTTTAAAAAAATGTATAAGACTAATATAAAATAATTCGAATATTGAGTGCGGATTTTGGCGTTATAGCTTGGAGATATCCAACATGATATGGGATGCTCTGTAGGTTTAGGTAAATATGATATGGTATGCTCTGTAGGTTTAGGTAAATATGATATGGGATGCTCTGTAGGTTTAGGTAAATATGGTTTCACTTCAACAATAAAAATATAATTATCTTTACATGTTCAATTACGGTGCTGTAATCGAAAAATTTTGGACTTTAAGATATAAAAACTAGCGCTATAATTAACATATACTTCTTTCACAATCATGGACATTTGACAATGTTTTGTACGCAGAATAGCCTCAGATTAAAATCATGTTAAAAAAGCATATTATAGATACAGATGAGATACAGAGTTTGGAATTTATAAACAAGATTGTAGTTAAACTAGCCGCCGCCGAGTTTAACTTGATATACATAGATCCACATTGCTGTAAAAAGTTGCATAAATTTTCAGCACTGGGTCGACTTTAAAGCATCACAAAAATGTGGCCTTTTATTTTACCGTACGAACTCGCTCATACTTTTTTGTAGCCCTAGATATGTACAGTTTAGAATGTGTAAAAAATTTGTTTCATAGCTTATTTTTTTTAAGTTTTGAACAAATTCTCATCTATTTTAGCGTGAGAGATTGCAACCTTTGGATCACTGTGTTACCAGTGTAGGAGAAGTCGTATAACTAAATTAAAAAAAAAATGACTTCCAAGACGGGGAATTGAAACTTAGTTTAGGGTTCAGTCTTATTTATTTCAAGAAATCTCCAAGCTCTCGGTCTTATCTTACTTTCCATGGACAAAATGTTCTCGTGTTATTTAAATCGTATCTTCTTAACTCACTATTCTTTAAAACAACGATAATAATAATTTAAATCTGATAATTTTATTCTATATAATAAAACAAGACATTCGTAAATATGTTCCCTATAGCCGGGCGAACGGCTGGACCGAATGGGCTTAAATTTTGGAGGAAACCCATGGATACCCTGGGGGTAACAAAGGCTTAAGAAATTCTAAAGTTTAAATTTTTCAAAAATCGCTTTTTTAAATCGAATTTTATTTTTATTCTACGGGCAACGTCGAGCCCTTCAGCTAGTAATTTATAATATTCAAAAATAACGACATAAAATAAAATTACCTAATCTGCGATGGCAGCACTTGGCCACTTTTTAGTTCAATAGGAGCAGAACTGATACTCACACAAACCTGCATAAATTGTAAATAATAAGAGCAAGTTTGAATAAGTTTTGTGCAGAAAGNATAAGGGAGCTTTTTGGTACCCTAAAAGGTCAATAACAACTTACCAGGTCCCCCTAAGTAGCATTTTAAAGAGAGAAAACAATACATTACCATTGAGCAAAAATTTGCTAGTTTGCTTAGTTCCTGTGTGAACCAAGTAGTAGATAAAATATAGATTTCCTCTTTTTACTCCTTTTCCTTATTCCTTCCCTTTTCATTAAGGAGAAAAAATCATATTTACCCTTAAAAGGGTTTCCCTGGTTTTCTTTCACCCTTTTTTCCTTCCTTCCCCCCACGCCCCATCCCCCTCAAACGCCCTTAAACAGCTCATATTATTTGATGTGTGGCTACTTTTTGCTTCAACCTCCATAATAATGCTACAAAATAGTTCTGTAAAAATTAATATTTATGAAACAAACAATTACAGCTACTTTTCGACTTAAATTATAAAATGTATGGCTTTATGAAACGCGCCAACATTTGACTTATCGTCTAAAGAATGAAATGGCAGATAGTATCTAAAAAAAATGAATTAGGAATTTAAAAATGTTTAAAAGACTTCAGCATCTTAAAACGAAAATAGTATAAAAGCTTTAAAAATGCTACATTGTTAAATTTAAATTAACATACCCCCGAGGAGAGCTGTAGTGGGGGAGGCTGAGGTCCCTCCTTCCCGCTCATTTTTATAAATTCCTGAAAATAATTTATTTTAAACATTTAAAAATACACAGAAAGGGTCTGTCCTAGAGAGCAATTTTTGGACCCCCCCCCCTACCTATTAATTTTGAACCTGACCTAGAGTTCAACTATTTGCAACAAAAATATTTATTTTTCATTTTATCAGGGCCGGGTTAGGTTAGGTTAAGTCAATTTATGGGCCGAGTACAGTCCTTCATTTTCAACATTAAGTTAAGACACTTCCTGTCAGACCCATGTACAAAATTGATAGGAGGGGGGGGGGGTCCAAAAATCGTATACTAGGAAATTACCAAGAACGATTTTTGGACACCCACCTGACTCCCCCCATTCTATCAATTTCGTATATGCATCTCATATGTTACACAATGATTAACTTGGTCATGTGGCCGCAGCACCCGGCCCCCTAGCCTGTCCTAGCCGCGGCGCTCGGCCCCCTAGCCTGTCCTGGCCGCAGCGCTCATCCCCTTGTCCTTCCTTACTGCAGCGCTCGGCCACTAGCCTGTCCTAACCTAACTTAACTCTGAAATAATACAAACTAAATAAATTGAACTGATTTTGTTCATTTGAACTATGTTTTTGTTCATTTAAACAATTTTTTTGTTCGTGTGAGCTATTTTTTGGTTCATATGAACTATTTTTATTTTCATTTGAACTATTTCTTAGTGTTTAAATATAATCAATTTAATTGTATGACCTAACATCATGAATTATAACAAAATTAAATATAAAGAAAAGTTCAATTGAACTAAAGGATATGACGTCATGTCAGAAGTTCAAATGAACAATAATTCAAACAGGAGTAGACCAAACAGGTATCCACACAACGAATTTAAGTTTTAAGTTTTAAGTGTAAACCATAGTGTAAACATAAAACAACAATTGTAATCATCTGTTTGAATATTTGCGCATGCGCAAAGAATTTGAAACAACAAGTCTGATTTCTCAAAATAATCGGTCGTCATCTGCAATATATTTTGTCCACAAAAATAAACGAATAGTAATGAATAAAAATCAGATATTAAGAATTTTCTTTGTTTTTATTAATTTTCACAACGTCAAAAGTGAATGCTTAGAAAAGTTCAGACTAGGACAAGGTCGTTTTTAATCGATGAAGCCATACCAAATAATTCCAACAGTACAACTTCACCCCTCCCTCCCCTCCAAATTTCCCCTCCACCGCCCAGCTTAGCTTACATAATGCTGACTGTAGCCGGTCTTAAAGGGAAGGCGAAGGGAGGGATGGGGAAGGGAGAGAGGTCGAAGACTAATGTCAATTTAAAGCTACGACACGTTACAATACTCCCAGTTAACACTATTTATTCAAGATAATATATTGAAATATTCTAAGTATCGAGCTCAAGTATATTATGAGCTTTTTACATTTTCTGTTTAAATTTACACTTCACCTCAGTAAATTTTACAGTCATAAAGTGCTCTTTAGGTGATATTCCTATTTGTAGATTGTACGATATGTCTTAAATTTATTAAATTTAAGGCCGATTTAACTGACGTTAAATTGCATGCACAAAAGTCATCTGTTAAATAACCGGGGGTAATTTCCTAGTATACGATTTTTGGACCCCCCCCCACAGGTCTTTCAAGAAATAGAAATCTGTTTTAGCACATAGATAACATCATTTAGAGATTTGTGGGCGCAGCGTTGGCCCCTAGCCAGTCCTAGCTGTCGAACTTGGCCCATAGTCCGCGGCGCTCGGCCCTTAATTATCCTATAGATTCAGTGCTCGTCCCAGAAATTGTCATAACCTAACCCTCAAATAATAACAATAATTCATAAATTTTTTGTTCTGTTAAAATACTTTGTTAATTAGTTAACAATATTTTGAAAAGGACTATGTTAGTCTAGATGAACATTAGTCCAAACGAACGTTGGTCCTATCGATTAACAGTACTTCTGAAATGATTCCGATTGCACATTACACTGCTCATATTTTTCAGGATTAAGCATGCGAGGGTTTTTTGTTTACACGGTTACTTTCATCTTTACTTTTCTTCTTCTGCATACTCTTGGAGCCTTGGCAGCAGCTAAACAGGTATTTTACATACTCTATCATTCGTCCCTGCCCTCAATCATTCGTTCACGCCCTTAATTTTTCGTCCTCGGCTTTAATTATTCGTCCCTGTCCTTAATTATTCGTACCACAATTATTTACCCCCCCCCCCTTACTCATTTATTTGTCCTTGTCTCTTCCCTTAATCCTTCAGGCTTCGTCCTACCCTTAATTATTCGTTCCCGCCTTCAATCATTCGTCTCTGCCCACAATTATTCGCTCTTCCTTATTCAGTCATTTGTCCCTGCCCTTAAAAATCCGGTCCTTGACCTCAATCGTTCGTACCCGCTCTCATAATATTATTACGTTTTAATTATTATATTTGTAGAGCAATGAGTTTGCCGAGATAGAAGAAAATGAGTTCGCCGAGTTCGATTTCGAAGACGAAACTGACGAATTCACAAGGGTAATAAACCTATTAGATACAAAGTTTAACTTGTATCCAATAGAAAATATATAAGAGAAATCAAAACCTGTTTTAATCTTCACCACAGTATATAAGTTGATTGTTTGTCCAAAACCCTGTCAGCTAAAGAGAAATAAATAAACTCAGATAGAAAAAGTTTTATATATTTTAGACTTAAGTTTCGACACGGGTATATATAATCATACTATAGAATTACCCCACTCCCCCTCTAGATGCTGTGTTGGCTAAATGCAAGCTTGAACTTTTTGACCCTAAAATTCATTTATTTAATCCAATTTACATAAAATTTAAATATATCAACATCGTGGGGGAGTATTATTGTGTAGAGGCTAAACCTTGAACCTTGTATTGTTGTGTAGAGGCTAAACCTTTAACCTCGTATTATTGTGTAGAGGCTAAACTTTGAACCTTGTGTTATTGTGTAGAGACTAAACCTTGAACCTCGTACTGTTGTGTAGATGCTAAACCTTGAACCTCGTATTGTTGTGTGGAGGCTAAACCTTGAACCTCGTATTGTTGTGTAGAGGCTGTTGTGGAGGATGAGGTTGGGGGAGATTTCTCCCATTTGATTGATGACGAAGAGTTTATCAATTTTCCAGAGAAATCAGAGGTGTGGTATTTTCCCCATTTGAGCGAATAAAACCCATCTTGTGAAGAAATTATTCAAGGGGGGGGGGTGATTTTTTTTAAAGGATATATATGTCCCTTAGTCCATGTATATTGATCTAGATCCAGGCCAAATATTCCTGACCTAGGTATAAACCAGTGCTTAGGATCCGGATACGTTTGATCCGCAAGATTTTGGCTTCCTGGATCCGGATCCAGATTCAAGGGGCAATATTTCAACCATAAACTGCCGAACAATATTTGTTACTCTCATTCCAAATCTTAACTATAAAAAAGAGAGATTATATAAATTTCCTGATTTCTGAATGGTTTATAAGTTCTAGCTTAAAAATTCAAAATCAACGAAAAAAAATAAGATAAAAAACTTGAAAATTCTGCTTTGTTGAAAAATTCAGTAATTTTGAAGAAATAACCTGGATCCAGACCAATTTTGTCTAGTGCGGATCCTATTCGGATCCGCATCAAAATTAAATGGATCCTAAGCACTGTATAAAGTCTTGATCCTGATCTGGTCCCTAGGCCACTTTGATCCTTGAGCTTGACATCTGATCCGGATCAAGATATTATCATGCCATAAAAATATATACCATTTTATTTTGGTTTAATATTCTATTCTAAGATGCGAGATTTAATTTTATTATTATTTATAATGAGAAGTATGTTCTCTCAGACGAGTTAATTATAACATGTAATTTGATTATTTAGGATTCAGACGAGTTCATGAATGAGAAGAAACCTAATGTAAAGGTAAAACAAAGTTTAGAAAAAAAATACAATTAAGTATTTCATCAAAATTCAAGCATATAAAATATTATAATTTATAAATTACATAATTAAAACAATTTTAGCATATGATTTTTATTTGCAGAGTGGTAAAGGGGTTCCCCCTCTACAGTATGCGAATATTCCCTTGCATCTTCGGTCTAACTGGGGGAACTACTATCTGGAGATATTGATGATCACGGGTAACACGTTTAAATAATAACTTAGTTTTTAAGTAAAATTTTCAATTAAATGAGCCATTTATAAAAAAGCCAAAAAAATATTTGTAATTTCTGAGAATTGAATTCGATAAATGATTCTCCTAATTACTAAACCCTATTTGTTTTAATTTTAGTTGTGAACTCAAAACTATAACGGGGCTGGCTATTTAAGTTTAAGTAACCCTCTTTTTGAAGAGGAAAATACTCAATTCTAATAGTATCCTTAAAATCCTGTCCGATCAATAATGTGGAAGATATCGTCGTTTTTCTAGCTTTAAGTTTTAGATTCGCGCGGTCTTAAGTGTTCAGTGTTCACGTGTTAAAATAATCAATTTTCAAGAGATAAAACAAATCTTATCTGAAATTTTTTATATATAATAAAAAATAAGACATTCGTATATATGTTCCTTATAGCCGGCCAAACGGCTGGACCGAATGGGTTGATTTTTTTCAAGGGAACCCGTGGGGACCCTGGGGGGTTACATAGGCTAAAAAATTCTAAAATTTGTATTTTTCAAAAATACATATCATTCACTCTTGATAAGACAAAGTTTTTAATGGTACCTATATTTACCAGAGTCCAAAACTAAAGAACGAAAAGTTTTGACTTAAATTTTAATTTCATGGTTAAATGCCACTTCTGACTTAATTTAAACCTGAACTTTAACCGTGAGGTTAAATATTCAACCCTGTGGTTAAATATTTAACTCGCCGAAATCGACGAGTTAAAATTAAAATCTTGAAATCCTGCATTTTCCCTATTTGTCTATTATTCAATCATCATTCAGCTGAGAAAGTGGCATTCAACTTTACGATATATTTAAAAGTGAAAACCTTGTTAAAGAAATTTCACGTTTTAGGTTAATTAATTTTTGCATGTAAACCCAAAATTCGGTTTTAACTCGAAATATGTTTTGTTTTCGGTTACGTGAAAACAGCTGATTAGCGATGGTTACATATTATTCTCCGTAAATCCTTTTCTCTGATTGGTTCAGATTTTCCCGGGAATTTAAAATTTTAAATTGAGAAAGTTTAGTATTTAAGTAGCTATTCATTATTTTACAGAACTTTTAACCTCGAACTTAAAATTTGCGCATTCTTTAGTTTTAGACTCAGGTATGTTCTTCCAATAACTTGAAACGATGCCAAAAGAAATTTCGGAAATATAAAGAAAATTGTTCCGATCAGTACCGTTTTTTGATTTTGTTAATCCCTAACCCCTATTATTTTATTATTTGTCGCGAGCATTACGTTAGGTTACATCTCTCTTAATATCTGAAAATGGAATGGAGTGTTCTAGAATACGATGAGAATTATAAAGTAGCAATACACCTTGTTTTTAAATGAGATGATGACAATTTTGTCAAATGACGTTCATAAGTAATAAGAAGGTTAAAGATCATACCTTGAAAGTAAATGAATAGGATAGTAAAAGATCATACCTTGAAAGTAAATTAATATGATAGTAAAAGATCATACCTTGAAAGTAAATCAATGGGATAGTAAAAGATCATACCCTTAAAAGTAAATGAATAGGATAGTAAAAGATCATACCCTTGAAAGTAAATTATTATGGATGGTAAAAGATCATAAATTAAAAGTAAACTAATATGATTGTAAAAAGATCATACTTTTAACTAATATGTACAGGTTATCATCAATATTCAATGTCAAGCTTTAAAACGTTGACTGAAAAAATGATAATTGATAATTCTAGTTATGAAATTATTTTGTCAGGTATTATTGTCTACTTCCTCAATTTTTTCTCGGGAAAAAGTAAAAACCAGAAGATTGCCAGTCAATGGTTTAATGTTCACAGAGAAATACTGGAATCTCAGTTCGCTCTAGGTAATACACAATACAAGTACTGTCGATGTATCAAAAACAATTTTAGCATTTTTTCTTAAATTTCGTCACATTCTGAATGAAGAGTTTTTGAAAGAAATAAAACATACAGATTAAAAACTAGTCAGAATTTCTTATTAAAAAAAAATAAAGAACATGGGATTAAAATATTTTCAAAGCTTTTTGGGATTTTTCCTCTTCTTTAAATAATTTTTCCAACATTTTTTATTCAACGCATCATAAAATCGATATTTTTTCTGATTTTTCGTTTTTTGGGGATACATTATTAAGCAAATATCTCTTCTTTAAACAAATAAATTTGTTTTAGTTGGAGATGATGGAGCCAAGAATATTGAAGACATTCAAGAACCAATTACAAAGGTACTGTCAAAGCCAGCGCTTAAGATCCGGATCTACGGGGAAAAAACTAGCGAAAATGAAAAAAAGTCATGTTTGAAACCATGTTTTTGGATATATAAAAGAAATAACCAAATCTAAAATAAATATTTATAATCTGTATCTGGATCAGGTTTTTACACGGATCCTATCCGGCTTCAAACAGCAAAGTATCAGCCAAAATATGACTTGAAATAATCCTTTTTTCCTCCATACAAAATCAATATGAATTTCCCTTATTGTATCAAAAATAAGGATTATAATGTCGAGTAAGCAAGAACAAATTGCAAAATAAGTGAGAAAATTGTAAAACTAAGACTAGAAGAACAATGAACATATTTTGTCTTTTTTTGTAAAACATTTTTTTTTTTTTTTTCAAGCCTCCTTAATATTTGATATTTTGTTTGCAATTTTTTTCTTCTAGGAATCAGAAAACATTTTCACTTTCTGGTGTTCTGGTAGAATATGCTGTGAAGGCAAGTAAAACAGCATTTTTGGTTTTAACTCTAAAAAAACGAATCGCCAAGTTGTTTTTAAGTCGCTTTTTTATTTATAATTTTCCATCTTATTTACATTATAATTTAGTTTTACGGTCATTTGATTTATACCGCCATTTTTTTGTCATTTTTATTTATACCGCCATTTTTTTGTCATTTTTATTTATACCGCCACTTTGAATTATATCTCCGTTTTTATTTATATCATTTTTACCGCTATTTTGATTTTTACCGCCAATTCAATTAATATTACCAATTTGATTTATACCGCCATTTTGACTTTTTTTTCATTTTGATTTAAACCGCCCTTTTGATACCGCTATTTGATTTATACCATCATTTTGAATTTTTCCGCCATTTTGAAATGGTTTTCTTTACTGTCAAGGCATGTTGGTGGAACTGAAGCTTCTAAAACGTCAAGACCTTGTCGGAGTAATTGCAAATGCTTTAAAGCCGGCACACGATCAGTTACATATAAGGTGACCCACCATCCAATCATCAATTTTTACAGAATGAAATTTTTTCACCGAGATAGTTATTTATTTAAATTACTAGAGTTGATATGGGTCAGGAGGATATGGACAACTTTATCTTCGCAATCGCCTCCAAAAAATCTTCCCTCCGATTGAGCAAGGAAAACAATCAATCAGTTTAACTTTTAATCAAAGTGTTATTTTATCTTTTATCAAAAAATATAATATTATTGAAAAAACTATCAAAATTGTTTCACAAAAGCTTGCGTTTTCCCCTTATAAATATTAGGGGGGAGCTATATTTTAAGATGTAATGCATCTTTGTCGTTTTGAAACATTTTTTATTAGCCGAAGGGGTACAGCACATTAGCTAAATTTAGGATTTGGAAAATTTGAAAGCCTTGTAGATAATAAATAAAACTTCTGTAAACATTAACAAATAAGAAGTCTGAAGGTTCTAGTTGAATTCTTGGATGACGCATTGTTTGTCGACTAGGATATGTACGACATAAACACGTACTGTCCTGAGAGGCGAGGAGCAGATAAATACGGAGTAGCGGAGGCAGGATCTTACTTTGTCATGTCAGAGGTACTAATTCAATATTTGATTTTTAAGAAAACAATAATTCACCCTTACTGATTCCTCTTTTTTTTAAATAGAAAAAAAAATTTATTTTTATTTGTGATTTGTTTGTAAAGTGACACGTATATTAATGCGGGAGAGAAATATTTATTATTGACGTACTTGCACTATGTACATTGTACATTGTACAATGTACATTGTACACGACAGAAGTTAAGAGATAACAGAAAGAAGATTGACGATATATCAGAAGCTTATGAATTGGAAAACCTACGTCACATTCTGAGTTTTTGAGATATAAAGCTGAAAGTGTTTATAGTTTAAAAAGTAACGTCATAACATCTAAGATATTTCTGACATTGTTTAGTAGTTAAATTTTAAGGTTGCAGAGGTAGCTTCAGCCATGTTGGACTCTAAACTAGTTTCAGTTTTCAAAAAATATCCAGACATCATCGATACTATTCATTTCTCAGATCAGTACACAGGACCTAAGCCTACTGAGGTTAGTGCACAGTACACATAACCTAGACCTAAAGAAACAACTACACAGTACATAGAACCGGAACCTACAGAAGTTAGGATATAGTATACAATACACATACAGTACACATACAGTACACATACAGTACATAGGACCAAAAAATACAGTGTTTAGTACAGTTGCACATTACACAGCACCTTACCCCCTTCCCTTCCTAATTTTTCCCCAGAAATTATGTATGCTTAAGGAAAATAAATATTTTTGGGGAAAATAAATTAATTTAGGGTTAAAGTATTAAAAAAGAATTTTTCATTTTTCCCCATATCATCAAATCATCCCCCCCCCCCCTCTAAAACCTACAGAAGTTGAATTTTTGTTAACATTTTACTTAAATCTTAAATATTCAGTAGAACATTGATTGTTTACATTATATCTAAATCTTAAATATTCAGTAGCACATTGATTGTTTACATTATACCTAAATCTTAAATATTCAGTAGCGCATTTATTGTTCACATTCTACTGAAATCTTAAATATTCTGTAGCACATTAATTGTTTACATTATACCTAAATTTTAAATATTCAGTAGCACAATTATTGTTCACATTCTAATTAAATCTTAAATATTCTGAAGCACATTTATTGTTTACATTATACCTAAATCTTAAATCTTTAGTAGCACATTTATTGTTTACATTATACCTAAATCTTAAATATTCAGTTGAACATTGATTGTTTACAGTATACCTAAATCTTAAATATTTAGTAGTACACAGCCCTCTGTACTCTGCATTCTGCAAACAGTTCTACTTTCAGAAAATACAATTAACTTTAAAATTTACGAATTTTCCCTCCCTTCTCACCAATTACTATGTTTACTAAATTAGGACCAGCAGCCTATGGAATTACCTCAAGGAAAGAAAGTTCTGATATTTGTTTTCAACCTGACTAATATTACTCAGACTGGAATAGAGGTAAGCCCTAAGTTTTTAAATTCCCCCCCCCCCCTTCTTATTTTATTTTGCACAATAAAGATCCAACATTATGTAGAAATAGGACAAACTAGAATCAAATATTTAAACTTTACTCGATGTTTCACGTAATTCACGTAATTCATTTTTATTCGGGGGAGTTATCCGAGTTAGAAAGGTATTCATGGATTTTAGACCTGCTATCTGGTTATGCCTTGCCTTATTTATTGATAAATTATTAAAGTTCAGTTTTAGAAACAGATCAGTTACAAATTACAAAAATCTTACTTTTTTCAATTAAAAGAATGAATGGCAACGGAAATCATTCCACCGTTCTGGTTCTTGCTGAAGTACAATTTTTGTTCAGGACACTCTGCCCCTGCTGCAGTTGGTATTCTACTGCATTGACAAGGTCAAAAAGTACAAATTGTCCAGGGAAGCTAAGGTCAAGGCAGACAAGAATAGATCAAAGTAAGTTTTTTATCTGGTTTGCGAAAATATACAATACATATTAAATAAATATAATGATCGCTGAATTAATCATTGTTAAAAATTACAAATATATTACTAATACTTTGAATTTCAATCTTTAATTTGATAAGATTAGAAATTCTATGCCTACACATTTTCGAAGTAAATATTTTTTACCATAATTTGATTGAATGTTAACTGGTAATGATTTGATACAAACTTGATATTGAAAAGCTTATTCAAATTGGAATTTAAATATGATTGGTTTATGTATGATGAATCGATTGATTTACAAATGATTGACTGATTCACTATTGATGGTCTGGTTACAATTGACTGATGGACTATTTGATTGATTGATTGATTGATTTATTGGTGGATTGACTGATATTTTAATTGATAAATTGATTGATGGATGGATTTATGGATTTATTGATCGGTCGATTTATTGATTGGTGGAGGGTTTGATTTATTGATTGATTGACTAATCAGGGTTGCTGAGAACCACTGGCGCTCGATCCATGCCGCTAAGGCGGAGAAAGCTGCTGAGGAGAGAGAGAGGAAGAGAAGAGAGGTCAAGGAGAGGATAAAAGAGATCGAGGTAAACTTAAAGCTTCTGCGGAGTAAGGGAGGGGGGGTTAAAATGTATGTTTTTTTGTAGCCATTACCTTTTGATTAATATCATCTACGTAAAATAATCTTTCCACATAAAAGATTCAAAACTTAAACCGCACTGAGCTACCTTACTAAAAACTATTTTCGAAAAGTGAAGGGGTAATTATTTTTTTGATAAACTTAAATTGAATCATTATATTAGTTGGCATTTTTTAGTAATTAAAACTGAGTTTTAGTACATTTTAGACTAAACGCATCTTAATATTTGTTTTCGTTATAAAAATCATGGTTAGTTAATGATTAATGATCTTTCTATAGAAATGTTAATTGTCTTGAGGCTAAGACTATTGATTGGTCTAGCGCTTAGCAACGTCGATTAAACTCAAAAACTACAATGTGAACTTTAAACTGAAGGTTTTTAATTTGGTCACGGGGCTAAACGGGAAATCTACAATTTTATGTAAATATCCAAATATATCTGTTGTGGGACATAGTAAAATAAGAGAAATCTGAGCTTGTTATGAATCTTGTTCAAAATATTAAAGTTTTGACCTCTGACTATTTACAAGGACCCTGAGAAGCAACGTAAGATGGAAGAGAGAGAGAACAGGAAGGACAAGAAGAAGAATCAACCCAAGATGAAGCAGCTCAAGGTTAAGGCCATGTAAGGTCTTTGTCAAGACTAAGCAAGAACAGTGTCTAGATTACTTCATAAAGTAATGGTTTTAATGCTTTGTGGGATCAATGTTTAAGAGCTATGTCTTGTATTATCAGGATCAATTATGTTTTAAGTATTTATGATTACTAAGCGTGTCAAGAATCATCGTAAAATTATATTATTCTTGTTCGTATATAATTCATATACAGTGAGAACCAGCAAACTTCGAAATAGAAAAACGACTTTTAACTCGAATTATGATTTCAAATTGTCCCATGGATATTGTATGAGATACAACAATGCAGTGTCATAGAACATTTCACTTTATAATTGATGTTTAAGCTACTAGTAAAAGTATCAAATACCTTTAACTATTCTTTTAATGTCGTCTTCCTATTTTATATGTTTTGGTTCTCTCTGTTTTATGTTCAATACAGTAAGATACTGTCAAAAGACTAAGATCCTGGACAAATCTGTAAAAAATATAGAAGACTAAGATCCTGGACAAATCTGTAAAAAATATAGAAGACTAAGATCAAATTCGTTGGACAAAACTATGTATGATTCCGGGGTCAAGACTATATATATACATCCATATTAATCAAGATTGTCTAAATTCGTGGTCAATAATATAAAGCTTAGTTAAGACATTAACCCTAAACCTTATAATTTCATCTGACGGTAAAATAATTTTTCTTATTTGTTCTGTTTTGTCTCGTCTTGTATCTCAACTTAGGTAACTCAATCCCGTTTGGCTCAAGTTTCATTGTATACTCGAAATTCGGGCATTTTTCAGAGTTGACAAATTTTGTGATTTTTGTTAGTTATATTTCTCCTTGAAAAATATACGTTGTTTCTTATTATAATTTATTGTTAAAAGTTATTAATGAAATAAGAAAAATTTAAATAGTATTGTTCGTTTCAGATCAATTAAATGATGTACTCATTGAGTACTTTGGGACGTAGGTCTAGTGGTTTAGTACGGCTGCCTCTTGAGGTTTTGTGGACTAGAGCTAGATATATTTCATCTTCTGAAAGAGCAGCACTTGATCGAGCCAAGATTGATTCTATGATAAGGCAAGGCGACCTCTTAATTTTTACTGACCAATTTAAGTTCCTAGTTCAAGGTTCAATATTATGACCGAATTCGATTTTGCTGCCTAGCATACTATTTTTCAAAGAATTTTTACACTAATGCTTCTTTCATCCAGTAAATGTGCTGTTGTCGCCATAAAAAAGATTATTAAGATTATATGATAAATGTCATGAATGATGACCGCCTGTAAAAATCTTAGCCAGCCACATTCGTCCATAATTAGCAAAAAAGGGTTTCGATTGCTCCCCACCNTGGAAGTACTGTGATAACCAGTAAACTCCTGGAAGTACTGTGATAACCAGTAAACTCCTGGAAGTACTGTGATAACCAGTAAACTCCTGGAAGTACTGTGATAACCAGTAAACTCCTGGAAGTACTGTGATAACCAGTAAACTCCTGGAAGTACTGTGATAACCAGTAAACTCCTGGAAGTACTGTGATAACCAGTGAACTCCTGCCATATTTCGAATGTGTTTTTTTGGCGATTAGGTTTGCGCAATTTTAACTTTTGACTCAAAGATTTCTTTTGAAACAAATTGTTAAAGACAAATTTTAGGAAGTTGTTACCAAGGCATCATGTGACCTTAAGGCAAAATGCTAAAGAGAGCAGTAAAGGCTTATGTATAAACAAATTTGAAAGATTTGGCTTAAAAAAATGTTCAATTTTATTATTTTAAAAACGGACCAATTTAAACAGATAAATCAGTGAACATTTGAAATTTTTGTTTGTATGAAAAATGGCGATTTGAACAGGAACAGATTTTAGACAAAATTGTTCCTTAAACCTAGTCTTCAAAATAAAATTGTAAATGGTTTGATTTATGAAAAACAAATTTTAGGGTTGATCATGCCGGGGAATATGGCGCGGACCGGATATATGCCGGACAACTAGCTGTTCTCGGCCATACAGATATAGGTAGGAAGGAGTAAACAATATTTAAACAGGGGTTTATATTTTTATCAAAATCATATAGAAAATGACGCCCCTTCACATTGTAGTTCCAATAAGACTTAAACTTGACTACATAATGAGTGGTTATAATGTTTGTTTTTTTAGTAAAAATAATCACTATTTTTAATTGATAAAATGTTTTAAAAGTTTTCCGTGTAATCCACATTATTCTAAATTTTTTAACAAATTGGGTACTGTTATTTTCATATTTTTTACATATTACAATGTTTAAGCGACTAGTAATTGATACATGTTTATAATGCTGATAATCATTTATTCCAATATTCTTCTTTTCTGTCTACCCTTGTTCACTTTATTTAACTCTGTCTTATTATCTGCATCCCCCCCCCCCCCCGAAAGGGTAATATGCAATTCAGAACGCAATTTCTATGTCTTTATTTTTGTTACGTACACTCTGGATATAAATTAGTAGAATTTTTAATCTTTCTTAAATTCTGAATCTCCTTTATTATTCGTGTATCCTGCAGTAATTTTGAAAAAAAAGTTCAAGAGATCTCCATAGCCTAATAATGCAGTTAGCTAGGTTCAAGGTGATCTAGAAGCCCCCCCCCCCCTAGGACAAGTACTTCCTCTCCCAAGTCAAAATGCTGATCCCTCTCAGAAAGTTTTGATTAAGATTCCACAGTATAGGGGTTTCTGAGTTCCACTATATCTGCTCGTGAAGTAGGAGAAGTTTCTAAGTTTAGGAAGTTTTTTGAGGTTTATCGAGAGATCTTCTTAAAGAAAATCTCTGTTTTCCCCTGATTTTATACATCTTTCTTATGCAGAATTAGGATAAATATCCATTATTACCCAGTAAATCTGCACCGCAAATATAGCTGGGGATTGATGTATAATTTGTTTGATTATTACCCTCCTGTTTATGTATGGTCTGACTAAGCATTCCAGGCTTTCAGGATACAGCTTTCTTAGCGCCCAGTCTTAAATAACAAGGAAAGCTCGGGAGAGAGGTCTCACACAGACCATGGTCCAGGATCAACTGACATTATTCTAAATATTAATCTAGTCACCCGCCCATCCCCAAGTCTTTTTTCCATAACAAATTTAAATTTTTTAAAAAAATTTCTGCATGCAGGACCGAAAATCAGCGAGATGTGGGAGCAGGAGAAGGAACACTTGGCAACCTTTAACCGTTATATTCCAGAGTACAGGGTCCGTCCAACTGCTCTTCTACCTCTCTGGCATGTTGCTGGATATGCATTGGGGGCAGGTAAACACAAGGGAATAGGCAGTAGGCACTGATAACTATCTTAATACCAACAAATTTAAAAAATGAATGCTTCATATAAATAATTCAAGTTTCTATTAATGCTAAATGTGGGGGGGGGGCGGAGAGAGAGAAAGAGATAACATGATAATTTAAACTTTTGTTGCTCTCCAAGACATGTTAAAATTTCACAATAATAAACGAATGACGGCGGTTCAATGAATTTTTAATCAATATTGAATTATTTGAAGAAAAATATCATTTCTAAAAACTCCTGGACTTGTAAAGTATTTAATCTTTGAGTATTTAGGAACTGCTCTGCTGGGTAAGGAAGCAGCTATGGCGTGCACAGTAGCTGTAGAAGCATCAATCACTGCGCACTACAACGAGCAGCTGCGGGAGCTGCATAAAGATGGAGATAAATACGAACAGCTCATTAAAACTATTTCAAAGTTTCGGGACGATGAACAGGAATAATTCAGACAAAATTATTTTATTCTCAAATTTTTTTATCGTGCATTTACTTTAGACGATTTTGCATGGTTAATCTCATAAGATTTACTTTCAAATGAATCTCTTTATGTTCTATAACCACTGCTCAACAGTGAGTTATTTGTTCCGAAAAAAAACATGTTAAATTCTGTTAATTTCCTCCATTATCTCTGAAGCGTAAATCAGCAAGTCACTTATGCAGAGAACCCCATCATTTCCCATCAAGCTTTGTAAACACAACATGCCAGTCTATTAAAGAGTGACACTTGAAATTGTGATACCTTTTAAATGGACTGTCACTGAAAATTCAAGTTACCTTAAATTTTAAAGAGGGGCATACCCAATAAACAACTATACAATTTAAACCTTTATCTGATCAATTTGCGGTTTTAAAAACAAAGAAAACCCATAAAGTTTGGCGACAGAAATTTTCTAAACCTAAAAATATATTAATTTGCTGGATCCGGGTCCATTTGTTTACAGGAGGGATCCAGGATCCAATTCCATTTGTTTACAGGAGGATTCAGGATCCTGTCCATCTGATTACAGGAGGAATTCAGGGTGGGATTAAGGATCCGGATTCATTTGTTAGCGGTTGGAATCCAGGATACTTGTTTACATCCATATCAAATGTCTTAACACTTGACCAGTATCCCATCTTTTCTAAAGCAGTCAAAAACAAATCAGACAAAGGTTAAAATGGTACCTTTGTTAATCGCTTGAAATTACGTCTTCAGTCGCTTTAAGTTTTTTATTTTAATTGATTTCTAAGAATCTCTCAACTGAATTATTAATCAGGAGCACCATGATACAGGACTAGAGCACGGTGCAGAACAGGCTCCGGCATACGCGCTCTTGTCTGCCGCAATTACAGTCGGTTGCAAGGGCGCAATATGGCTCTCAGAGAGAGTTTAGTTTTAATAGTCAGATACAGATATATTTCTCATAGGATAACTCGGAACAGAATCGGAAAGCTTCCGATCCTGGTGTTAACCAAAATATTGTCTATTGCTGAACAGTGGCAAACAAATTTAAGTGACGTCATAAGATTTTGAAGATTGCTATACTATTTAATTGATACTTTGGCTACAGGTTAAAACCCCCCCCCCCCTCCCTTAGTAAAATCTATTATTACCCTATCTCCCCCTCCCTGAACTGGCTAAATTGCATATACCATTCTTGGCAATAAAGGGATGGGAAGAAATATTCTACTGTTATTAGGGGGGTAATTTGCACTATTTTTTGCAACACCCCACAACTAAAATCCTGTAACCGCCCTTGATAGTAATAATATACAAACATGTTAGTATCTGTATTAACAATGTGATACTCTAGAATAATATATTAAATGTTATTAAATTTGTTTTTTAATTACTACTCAGTACTCATGTGTGTTATGTTATTGTGATTCAATTCTTATGTTGGTTAACCTTAATGAATTGGTAGTGTTTATATATAAGTTTATGAAACATATTGAACTAACATTTATTTCAGTTAATTAAGAAAACCAGTGAATCTACAGCTTGTGAAGCTCTACCATAAAGAAACTCAAGGTATTTCTTGTTTTGTTTTCTGTGCTTTTCCCAAATGCTCATTTTTTGTTGATCACGTAGTAGTTTTTTTTTTTTGGTAACTAAAATCATAAAAAAAAGAAAAACATTTTTACAATCTTTACCTCTTTGTGTAGCTTCCTCGAATATATTATTCCAATTAAGGCCAACCTTATACAATAGAATAAAGAAACGACAGGAAGAAAGGGTCCAGTTTTCAGGGTGGATCAATATTTGAAACCAGCTAACCGCCCACCAGAAGTTGATAGTAAATATATTGAAAAGGCTTTATGTCAAATTTTTGCCTTCCAAGTTGAAAATAGTCTTCCTGTAGGCCAAACAAAAAACTTGATATAAAATGAACACATAGGCCCAGAAAAAACATTTTTTTAAATATTTTCTGTTTTACTTCTGTCCCTGGACATATCATTTAACAACCCTGGCTGTAGGACAGCTTAAAGAAATAATGGGTTACCCACAAAGAATGAGACTTCAGAGAGGATTGTACGGAATGTATACTATGGGTGTGAAATTTTTCTGAAACAATTTTACAGAAGCAAAAAAGTATTCTACTAGGCATGATTATAAAATATATTTTTCACAAAAATCAAAAATGTGCCCCTCGAATAGGTGTTAATATTTAAAAAGTCGCGAGTTTAAGTAAAAATGAAAATTTTTAAATACTTAATGAATTGGGTACCATTGGAACCGAATTGAATTTCTGAATTCAAATCAATTTACAGAATCGAAATATATTAAAATTTGACTGAGTATGTCAAAAAAGACATTTTTTAAGTACTAAAAATGAAATTTATTCAAGAAAAAATCTTTTTTTGACCATAACATGCCCAATTTTCAATATTTTTCCATTCTGTAAATTGTTTAGATCTCCGTTTTTCAAGCTGGTTCAATGGGTACCCATATTATTAAGATTGTAAAATTTTTCATTTTCGCTAACACTAGTAATTTTTTAACATCAAACCCCATTTGAGGGGTCCATTTTTTAATTTTGTGAAAAATGTATTTTATAACATGCCTTAGAATTCCAAGTGGAATACTATTTTGATTCTGTAAAATGATTTTAGAAAAGTCTCACTAAATTTCCCACACCTTTATGTATTTCAAATAACAAACAGTAGGTTGTCTTAATTAATGAAACGGATTCGGAACAGATGAGCTTGTCTGCGAGTAAATAGTACCATATTTTGTCACAAAAGCAACTTTATCGTGAAAACGAAATGCAAAATTTATATTTGTTGGATCTTCAACATTTTGCATGTATGAATCCAATGGATGAAATATCAACCAAAACTAGAGTGGAACAGAGGAACATAAACAAGATCAAACAATATGAAGCAGATAAAGTTACTTTTTGTTTTAAACTCGTTCTTCTCATACCAATATTTCATGAAAATTTATTTACTTTCCATGTTTTTGTTTTTGTCCGCCATTTTTATTCCCTCATTTCTCCCTGTTATCTTTTTTCATACTTCCTAACTAATTCCATCCTCAGTTTACTATATTTTGGTGTTGTAATAAATCCGAGTTTTCATTAAATCCATGTAATATTAAGTTTATCATATTAAAAACTCATTAACGTAATTTTTACCACATCATTTTTCATCATCTTCATTATCAGCTGTATCTTCCTCCTCAGTATCTTCAAAATCTTCTGAATCTTCCTCTTCTGATACAGTTTCTTCTGGTTCTTCTTCTTCATAGCTTTCTGTTTCTGAACTACTTTCTTCTGATGTAAGCAGGGCTTTCCACGCCTTTTCCATGAAATCCAGGTCATTATTTGCCATATACTAAGAATATCATGAAGTCGTTGTTGTGTTATATATCAATACATTAAAGACAAATTTCAATTTTGGACTTCAAACAGTATATAAACACATAAACATGGAAACAAAGAGAAGCTATCAATTAAACGTTTCTATTTATAAATATGATTATAGCTTGTCAGAGATTAAAACTTTAAAAAAAAGTTGCCTTAATTGTATTGATACAACATGTACTGAATGCACTCAGTTGTACTGTTAGTCTGAACTAGCCAGTGTAAAGCTGAACCCAGCACGTTTTATGCAACAAATGTAACCTGGCATAATCACAGTGAGCAGAATATGCACCAGAAACTATGAATAGGCTTTTAGGGCGCATTGCGCCATCTTTCATGTTAATAAGTTTAGCTTTAAACTGTAGCTCTGAAAATTTTAAAATTTCTATTTTCCAGTTTTTTTTCTCCAATTTTGATGTTCCAAACCTTTTCTGGGGTTACGTGAGGTCCCACACAAAATTTAGGGCCTGATCGGGTCAGCCGTTTTGACGTTTCTCGGTTACAAACAAACAGACGAACAAAGTAAAATGTTAATCTTAGTTTTTACCTGTATCATATCTTGCAAAGAATAATCCTTTCCTTTAGTTTCCTTAGTTCTAATCAGCGTTCCTGCAGTTTCCTTAGTTCCATTCATCGTTCCTGCATTTTCCTTAGTTCCATTTACTGTTTTTTCTTTCTCTTGAAATATATTGTATAATGTTGTCTAGACACTAGACATCAAGTACAAAATCTTTAAAATTTGAATAGTCGATCCCAGGATTGCCAGAGGTCCAAAACAGTCCCGGGACTTTGGGACTGTTCAAAAGTCCCGGAGTCCTCAAACTATGGGGTTTATTTTTACTGAAAATATGTTTTTTTTTAATAAAAGTTTAAAAATGTGACACTGGTTTTTGGGAAGGTCCTAAAAACCCGGGACAGTTCCAGGATCGCTTGGTCTTTGGCAGAAGCCCAGAACATGATTTATGGGTTTGACATGTTCTGCATGGCTCTTCTGGATTGCACAGATATTCCAAAATGACCTGATGTACTAATAAGGTATTTAGAAGAAGCCACCAATTCAATCACCATTAGTAGTAAAAGGGCTTTTTCCATTTCACTAAAGATGAGATAAAGGTTATCATTAAAAAAGCTCAGTCTTTACAATATAAATATAACTCAAAAAATCAAAATACCACTTTTCAAATTTGTCAAAAAGCTCGTGATCAGCTGACTGTTTTCCACCCCCCCCCCCCCATGATTTTGCCCTTAGATTTGAGTCTAACTTAGTCTAACTTTTCAAGTCTTGCTCATTAAAAAAATAGACCTCTAACTTAAATGGTTCGGGTGCAAGGGAGGAATTTTAAAAAGTTAAAAAAGTATTTAGGGAAATGAGTCAAAATAGTTATTTTTACTTTTGACAAATATTAAGATGTGGCACATGTTATTATATCCATTTTTCAGGAACTTTTCAAACATATAAATGTTAGCCCTGTGGCTTAAATAATAAAAAACCATTTCTGAATTTTTTAAAACACCGACCCGCCGTTTGACCGTCCTCCGCCCTACCCTATGCATCGACAACAATTTGAAAAAGTTGTTAACAAATATGAAGTTGAAAAATTTAAGAAGTTTTAGTGTTCTGATGTATGCTGTTCTTAAATTATTTAGAACCCCCCATCTCGAGAAGGGTAATATCTAAGAATCCTGTCAATATAGTAGAAGATTTATAAAAAAAAAAATATCTGGCTCACCTCTCTTAGATTCTGTGTAAAATGATATCAGGTTCATATTTTTTTTACAGAACTTGAATTCGTTTCACTGATTTAGCCTGAACTGAAATATTTCTATTCAATAATTGAAATAATGAAGGATGCAATTATGTTGAAATATTTATCTTCAGATTGAATTGAATTTCTGCAAAATGATCATTACTGAAAGTTAACAAAATTTAAATTGTGCAAATCCACTAAATAATAAAAATAATCCGCCAGATTATTTTTTCATCCGTAATCCGTTTACAGATTGACCCTTTTTTAATGATACAGTGTGCTAACAAAATTCTATTTTAATGTTACAGTATACTATCAAAATTCTAAATTGATGATACAGTGTGCTATCAAAATTCTTTATCAATTAGTATGCTATCAAAATTCGTTTTCATTTTGCTCTTGATCAAAATTCTAAATTGAGGATAGTGCGACATCAAAATTCGTAATATATGATGAAGTGTACGATCAAAATTCTTAATCAATGATACAATGTACTATCAAAATCTTTTAAATGATAAAGTCTAAATTAATGATATCACATGCTATCAAACTTCATAATCAATGATTTAGCGTTCTATTCAAATTCAAAATTATGGAAACAGTGTGTCCTACTGAAAATGACAATTTAAATATGACTGAGTCTGGCCAAGGTCTGTTCACTGTTACAATAAGTGCAAATTCAATATCAGCATGTTTGACTAAAAATCAAGCCTTTTAAGGAGTTTAAGTTATCCTAAAGTTTACTAATACTCGACCCAGGTTCTTCTAATGTTGAAAATAAGAACGTTATTAAAATTACATTGACACGCTGAAAAGAACAAGAAAAAGGGAATACACTTGCATCTTTCCATCAAGAAAATGTTTGACTAGGAGTCCCTGGATCCGATTGATTAAGTCCTTGATTAAGTCTTCTTTAAAACAAGACATATTCGTATATATATATATATATGTTGCCTACAGCCGGCCAAACGGCTGGACTGATTGGGCTGAAATATTTTGTGGGCACTCAGGAGTGGCTGGGGAGTGTTATAGGCTATAAAAATTTCAAAATGTTTTTTAAAATTTTTTTAACGGGCTATGCTGGGCCCTTCAGCTAGTATTCATATTATAAGAATACAGTCTGATACTGGTAGAATAAATCGGAGAATGACATTCACAGCTAGCCATAGCCTTTCTGTGCAAATAGTATATCGCTATCTGAAGTTTGGTGGAGTTGGACTTTCTTGTCAGCTAAACACACCCTTTATAGAATACATCACTAGCCATTTTTTAAATAAGCTTTTGTTTTAGAAATACCAATAAAAATACTCCCCTCTTAAGTGAAGGGTCCTTTTAAACAAAACCCGAAGAGTCAATTCTTTAAAAAATCTTTTTATCTGCGGTAATTTTAAAAGCACTAAAAAAGGATTAAGACTTTTTGGAAATTGGGTATTTTCTTATCATCATTTTGAACGCTTTACTTGTATTGTGAAATTAAAAAATAAATATCGCAAAATTTTTCAAAGAATAAAAGACGACTTTTAAATAGTCTTTCTATTGTCCTGGTTTGTAAGACACACTTTAGCAGATTTAACTGAATTGGGAGACGGGGTTGTACGCCTCTATGACCTCTATATTTATAAAATATTACCCCTTGCTGCCGTTCTTCCAACAAGACGTCATATTTTATTCCCCCCGCCCCCCCCCCTCGAATTTGTCCCTATTAAAAGCATCTTTAATCTTTATTGTGTAAGAAGTATAATTGTTCTGAAATTTTAGTCAATAATAATTTTATTTCCAATAATTCATTTTATTACAGTTATTACATATTATATCAGATACTTTGTTGAGCTAGGATAAAAACATAAAACTGCTAAACATGGGTCAGTAACTTACAATACAAATGTATAATTATTTGATTTTTTTCAGTAATAAAATATTAGATTGCCTTTAAACTAAGATGCTTTGGCTTGACTAAAGATATTTAAAACCTCTATATCTCAAAAATGTCTAAAAATTCCAAATTATCTTTATTTCATCATGGTCATCAAAAGTTTGAAGTTTAAAAAAATCGAAATTTTGTTTTTAAAAAGTCCTGTCGTAAAACTCTATTTGTAAAAGATATTTTTGAGTAAATCTTAAGGAACACGTCCCTGAAACTATTCCACTTATGATGGATCCTTAATTTCAAAGTAAAACATGTGAAATTTAGTTTCCTAAAGGAAATTGTTAAAAACATTCAATAACCTTTAACTAGAATACCCTCAATATTTTTTTTCTAAAAGTAAAACAAAGATAATGTTGCCTAAAATACAATGTAATTCAGACAACAATTGTTGTCGAAAAAAGAGCAATTAACGGGACTCGTAAAAACTTCAAAAAAAAATCCAAAACAGTAAATTAGCTCTTTTTATGTTTGGGTGTATAATCAAAACTAACATAGCTATGAGGTCACAAAGTTTTACCAGTAGTTTTAAATGAGTGACGTTTTGTAAATATCTAGATTTTATTATTTTGATCCTAGCTTAAATATACAAAAAAAAATCAGAAAATTTATTTTTCAATTGAAGAGCATTTAGAATAATTTGACAGAAACTAAATATATCAGGATTAGGGTTTCCGATCTGAATTCCGTTGCGCGCAACTGTTCTCGTATTTTGCGGAATTGCGCGGAAATTACAGGACCCCAAATTGCGCGAAAGTAAAACTCACTTGCGATGGAAACCCTAATAAGGATTGAGAATACATTTATCTTCCACAGCATTTTATTTTCTATTTCAGGTAATGGAGAGAAAAGTTAAAATTCACTGGCCATCGTATCTCGGTATAGTTGGTCTGAAAATATACATTGCTCATCAAGCAACAGAGGCCGAAACTAAAGAATTTGAGCCGCGACTTAAATTTGAGATGGCTGGTTCCACTTTAAATTGTATTCAATGTTTCAAGATTTAAACCGGCGTTTAATTGAAACCGGTTTTTGGCGGATTTGAGACGTGGCTTAAATTCAATAATTTCGGATTCTGATCATATTTTATTTAAAACAATTGATAAAATAAGTAAATAGTTTTTTTATTAAAAAATCTAAGTTTCTAGAAATTCAGTCTTGTAAACAGGATTCTAAAAGTTTTGTTTATTTCATGAAGTTTTTATTTAACAAAATGTTATATCTATTCTAATCTTTATCATTAAGGTAAAAGTTTGAAGGATTTTTGTATGAATTAAATGGTTAAATCAAATTTATAACTTTGATATATTATGACTTTGAAATTAAAAAATGGAAATGATCAATATCAAATAACTAAACTTTCTATCAAAAGGATGGAATAAATCTAAAATTAAGCAACATTTATTTTCTAAGACATGGACAAAATCATGAATATAAAACTATCAGGACATCTGGAAAACTTCATATTCGAACCATTCTGTTTCTTTTTGCTGTTTCATATTGACGTCATAATTATCCATGATAATTTTGGCTTTTGTTTAAATTTCTTACAATCTATCTTTCAAAAGTTCTTCAACTGCTGACTTAGGAAGAACAATAAGGTTCGGATTCTTTAAATTGAAAGGAAAGTTATTCTCCGAGAAATTTAGAATGATTTTAATCATTTACCGTTCTTATGCTTTCATTGTCGTTGAAAGGAACATCTTCATTATCCTCACCATCATCATCATCAGCCGTTGTGTCATCAAAACCCTTTAAAGGGACTGTAAGCAATCTTTCAAGTAAATCTCTGTGCAAAAAAAACAATGTCTGATTTACAACGGTACACTAAAACTTATGTGTGTTCGTTGAGTACAAAGAGATGTGTGTTTAAACTTATTAAAACCCGCTTGATTTCAGCTGCAATTTAAATGATCACTGTGTTCAGACTGTACGTACCTCAACACAGTGCACACTTGAATTTGTAGCTGAATACAAGCGGGTTTCTGTAAGTTTACACGGATATATTTGTACGAACACACACATGATTTAAGGGTACTGTTGTAAATTGGACATAGCCTTCTTTAATTAGAGGATCACTTAAAATTAAGGTTACAGTCCCTTCAATCAGAATCAATTAGAAAAAAGTAGAAATGGAAAATGTTCAAACAAATAATGTATCTTCATCCTGAGAATATAATTATAAAAATTATCATCATCATAATTATTTTTATTTCCCGTAACTAAAACCCTCAAATTTTTGATCCAAACCTCTTTATCATTTGTCATTCGATCATCTCCAAATCCATCATGTTCATCATCACTATCATCATTGGGATCAGTATGATTAGTATCATCATTATCTTCAGTATGAGTAGTATCATCAGTATCATCATTGTGATCAGTATGATTAGTATCATCAGTATGATTTGTATCTTCAGTATCATTGATATGATTAGCATCATCATTTTGATTTGTATCATCAGTGTGATTAGTATCATCAGTTTGATTAGTTTCTTCAGTATCATTAATATGATTAGCATCATCATTTTGATTTGTATCATCAGTATGATTAGAATCTTCATTATCATCAGTATGATTAGTATCTTCAGTATCTTCAATATCAGAAGTATGATTAGTATCTTCAGTATCTTCATTATCATCAGTATGATTAGTATCTTCAGAATGATTAGTATCTTTAGTCTCCCAAGTATGATTAGTATCTTCAGTATCAGAAGTATGATTAGTATCTTCAGTATCAGAAGTATGATTAGTATCTTCAGTATCTTCAGTATCATCAGTATGATTTGTATCTTCAGAATGAATAGTATCTTTAGTCTCCCAAGCATGATTAGTATCTTCAGTATCATCATTATCATCCTCTGTATCCAAGTCCTTTATAAGACTTTTATTAGTTTATAATTAATAAAAAGTTCTAAACAAACAGCCTTTAAGGGAGGGGGGGGGGAGGGGGGATCACTAACTGGGAATGTCATGTTTTTTTTTAATAAACTAAATAGGTTATGCCATGAACAGAAACATGGTTTGGGAAAAAGATTGAATGCAGTTGACAATGTCCTTTCAGAAACTGGAACTTCAGTGAGACAATCGGATTGTGAAAATAAATCTTAATAGCAATCTTTTGAAATTTGACGACCAAAAGCTTGTCACTCAAATTTATTTTCAACGACTTTTTAAGTATATAGATATGTATGTAGAATGTAGATCTGCATCTGCAGCTCAATTATTGAAGAGAAATTTTATTTTGTTTAAAAATCATCTGTCCTTCTAAGGACTGTCAACACGAAATAAAGTAAACAAATTTAAGCTGATAGTTTCAGGAATAAAAATAATTTAGTAATAAGTAATCTTAGATAAGTGTTAGTGCAGGGATTATGCTCTCAATTTAGGAAAAGGTGTTTCTTAAATTTAAGTTTCTTAATTAACATATTCAAGAAATAATTTTAGCAATATATATACCTGGCTGTCCTGATCTGTAGCACTTTTTACCCTAAAGTTAGACAGGCTAGACTCCTAATACAAGTAAAGAATTTGCATAGATTCATAAAAACAAGTTTTTACAGAATATCATAATCTAAAACCTTCCAAGATTTTGCAGTGCGAAGTACATTTCAAATTTACACTGTTTCCATATGAAGCAAAAGAGTCTTAGAAAATTTTCCAATTTAAAGAGACTTAAAAGGAAAATGAAAGGGGATATAAGCTGAACCTAATCGATCATTTTAGAAGTTGATCGAGACCCATAATCTGAAAAAGGAAGATATCACAGAGGAGCCTGAAAAACTTAGGTTAGCTCCCCTTATTATTCTAATTTTGTAATTTTTTTTAAGTAGATGTAATTAATAATATAATTACTACGTCCGTATCATGTGACCAAAACTCCCATCAATGTTATGTGTTTCCATATATATTACGTGACAATGATACTGCACTGCCATTGGTGGGAGTTCTGGTCACGTGATACGAATGTAGTAACTATATTATTAATCAAATATGATAGCGTCGTTTCCAGATTCGTTTCGTATTTGCTGAATATGATCTGTTTTAACCTACGATTTTATACAACATTTATATACATAAATTTTCATGTAAATTTTACACAGTTTTATATCAATTTCTCGAGACAGCAACATCAGATAGAACTCTTATGGGTCTTGATCAACTCCTAAAATGCTTAGGTTTTAGCCTATACCCACTTTAATTTTTCCTTTAAAGTTGATTTTAAATATTTCTATTTTTGATAAGATATTTTGGAAAATCAAAAGTTTACCATTTTTGCATTGGCAGATTGTCCATCACTTATTTCCTAAAAATAATATTTTAAACTATAAAAATCAGAATATTAAAAGCTACGAGTCTGAATCAACAAATAGAGATGGACATGTTTGGATTTTTTAATTTCGTTTGTTTATGGTTTGTGAACAACTGTTCAGTAAAATAGAGATGGACATGTTTGGATTTTTTAATTTCGTTTGTTTATGGTTTGTGAACAACTGTTCAGTAAAATCTTTCTTTCATTAAAAACCCGTAACTCTTTCAAAAGATAGTTCGGAAATATCGTTAGTTTGGCAAAAAAATCATTTTTTCAAAAATTTTCAGAAAATTCGTTCATTCAGTAAAACATTTTAAGGGGGCCAGGGGGGGGGTGTCATTGAAAATAATTTCTTTAAGTTAGAAGATCACCTTTTTTAAAGCAATAATATCGTCTGCTATATCCTCTGGATCCTTAATTTTATTTTATATTGAACAATATATTTATTTTATTTAATTAGTTTTAATTTTTTTTTTCGGTTGATGGCAAAATATTTGTGTATTATATTAGAAACCAATGTCACAGAATTGACTGTTATAGTTATGCAGTCAAAAATCACTATGGTTGATTCTCCCTTTCTAAGAACATAAATTTCAAAATTCTTTTACGTTATTTTAAAGAATATATTTGTTATTTATAATATAATTCCACTAAAACATATGTTTTAAAGGGACCGTATAAAAGAACAATGAAAGGGGGTATAGGCTGAAACCTGAGAATCTCACGCGTTGAACGATATCTATAAGATGTAAGACATCTATTCTCGTATAATTTTGACACAGTTTTATATCAATTTCCTGTGACAGGAACATCAGATAGATGTCTTTTAGGTATCGTTCAATGCCTGAGATTCATACCCCCTTTTATTTTTTCTTTACAGTCCCTTTAAGTTATTCTTGTCATCTTCTTATATTGCATGTTTGTGTTTAAAGGAATTGAGTCTTTGCCACAAATTCTGGTTTTTTTATTTCCTTTATCTGTGAAACCCAATGTCATAGCCCTAAAATATTTCAAACTATGAATTCTATGAGATCAAATAATATAAGTTTGAAATATCAAAGATTTACTACATCAGGTTGCAAAGATTTAGGGATTAGAAAAATAGTGACAAAGACTCAATTCCCTTCTTATAAGAATTATTGTTGTTTACTTTTGGAGCGGACTTCTCATCCTCATCATCTTTGAAAAGTTGCTTAAATGCTTCACTTGCAACATCTAAATTTTCCTCCCGAGTCATCATCTTAAAACTTTGAGTGTAAGAAGTATTTAAGCCACTAGATGTTTTATTGTTCTAAAGATTTTCTTGATAAATAATCATTAAATTGTATGTTCGTCAATAACTTTAGTTTACCACCCTACTCGATCAAATTGTTTCTCTAAAACAGTATTTTTAAGGACAACAGTGCACAGAGATCCATCTTTCAATTTTTTTATAACTCAAGACTTTGAAGTTGCAAAACTCCTAAGCTTTTGGTTTTTTACTGTAGAACTAAAATCAGCTTGTTTCTATATTTAGTTTAAACAAAGTAATTGGCAAAGTGACTGAACGGTTTTTGTTTAAGAATGTGTACATTTGTGATCACAGTGAGGTGGCTTTATGTAGGCAGCTTCAAGATAGCATGCACTAATGAATATATACAAATCATTATATTGTAATGTAACAAATATCAATTTGATTTTTAGAAAAAAACACGGAACAAGCGTAACAAGCGTTGCAATAAAAAAGTATGGTTGGAATTACTCAAGAATATGATATATGAATATATGAATACCTTTAAAAAATCTTTCATTCCATAATCCGTCCCAGTAAACCCTGCATCTGCATAGCCTGTCCCATCTGCAGGTTTAGGATCTTGAGTAATATTTGTTTTCTTCTCTAAACAAAAGAATGACAGAGCACACTATAAATTAGCTGTTAGGAAATATTCCAAACGCAAACTTCCCAATCACAACCTCACCAACCGCAATTTCCCCAACCGCTTATTTCCGTAATAGCAATTTATACAATGGCAGCTTCCCCATCTATATATAAATTTGGCTTGTCTGTCTGTCTGGGTGTTTGTCTGTTTGTTTGTTTGTATCCAATAAACGTCAAAACGGCTGAACCGATCGGGCCCAAATTTTTTAAGGGACATCACGTGACCACGGAAGGTTTACGAATGATAAAAATTAAAAAAATGTGTTTTAAAGGCTTTTAATTTTACAAAAAAAATTTAAATTCTTAAAAATCCTCGAATTTTTTTTTTAAATCCGCAAAATTTTTTTCTTCTTCGTTTTAAAATGTAAACAAAAAGAACATGTTCACAATTTAAATATAAGATGGGCGCGAAGCGCCCTAAAAGCCTAGTCTATATATAAATTTGGCTTGTCTATTTGTCTGTCTGTTTGTTTGAATCCAATAAACGTCAAACGGCTGAACCGATCGGGTCCAAATTTTTTAAGGGACATCACGTGACCACGGAAGGTTTACGAATGATAAAAATTAAAAAAATGTGTTTTAAAGGCTTTTAATTTTACAAAAAAAATTTAAATTCTTAAAAATCCTCGAATTTTTTTTTTAAATCCGCAAAATTTTTTTCTTCTTCGTTTTAAAATGTAAACAAAAAGAACATGTTCACAATTTAAATAGAAGATGGGCGCGAAGCGCCCTAAAAGCCTAGTGCAGTAAAATTCTATGAAAAAATAACAGTTATCTGAAAATAATGAAATAATCTGTCATGATATTTGATAAAAATTAACAAACTTAGATTTCGTATGTAAAGCCAAACTGAATTGTGTATGTCAAAATATGAAAGTTGCGAATTTTTTATTTTCTATTTGCGCATTTATAACATGTTACATCAGAATAATGGTAAAAACCAAATATTTGTATATTACTGCATGGGGAATTTGATGTTGGGGAAATTAAAGACTGGAAGTTGTTGTAGGGGAATTAATGTCTATTGGAACATCTTGTTGGAGTTGGTGTTGGGGAAGTTGTTTTGAAAAAATTACATTAAACTTCTAAAAAGGTCTAGCCTTGAAATTTTATAAAAATCTTTTAAATTATATTTAATTAACTTAAAGGAATGCACTTTTTAAACGCTGGCAATGACGGGTACCCCAACTAGTGTTAACTAAATAATAAAGAATAAAAGCCAGTTTTATGTTTAAACAAAATTGAATATTACAAGATTATAATTCAGAAGAGTTATGTAAACATTAATCAATTTAATATAAGTTAATGATACTAATTAGCTGATCTAAAATTGTTAAATATGTGTTTACCTCCTGTTTTCACCAGATACCTTCGTGACGTGACCAGTCCTAGTGTAACCAGGACTAGGTTTATTTTCAACATTGTAATCCTTTAATCAATATTCATTTTATCACTATTTTTATTCTTTATTCTTTAAATATCTTTAATGAACTGGAAGCCTTATAATCTTCAAATCATTTTTTTTATTCGAGATATTATTTCACGGAAACCTTTGAAGTAATAATATTTTTACTCAGATATAATTTGCGTAGATTCCCTTTAATCCGTTTAATGAGTCCCAAATTAAGTCATAATTGAAGGTTTTACTTATACTGTGTCATTGTTACTGACCTAATGAAAATAAATAAAATCTCAAGTATCTGTTTTAAAAAGATCCTTAATTTCTATAAGCAAAGAAAAACACAGTTTATATTCATATAAAATAAAAAGATTTGTATTTTAATCTTGATACATACACCTGTATATATATATATATATATATAAACTTTTATATTGAAATAGACTGGCAATTGGAAAATTCAACTCACTTAGCTGCAGTCAGTGTAGGAACTATATAACCAAATCCGCTGCTAGATCAATTTCCTCTAAATCACAAACAAAAGGAATTGAGTCTTTGTAACAAACTCTGGTTTTCTAATACCTATATTTTTTCCACCTGATGGTGAAAACCTTTGATATTTCAAACTTAGTTTCTTTCATCTAATACATTTTGTTGCAACATCAGTTATATTAAATTTTATGTAAACAATACATATGTAATGATGTTTCCGATCTCCTGTTCCTTTATTGGAAATATTCCCACAACCTCTATTTTTGGAGATCTTTCAAATACTTTCTCCTAATACACTTAATTTTGTATTTTTTTGTTATATTTTATAAATAAATAATTACTTAAATACTTACTTCCTTCTACGTACAGCAATTCAGGATTTTTATGTTTTTGTCAAAACAAAAGAATTTACAAGTGAATGGCTGAATAAATACCATCAGAACCACTGGACATTTAATTCCCTAAGGATTCATTATAAGTAGCCTGGTCCAGGGGGTTTTAATATTTCATTGATACAATACACAAGAATCTTGGTATTTATACATTTAAGTTAACACTATAAGCCAAATTTTCATGCAAAGAATATAATTTGATTGAAGTTTGCAATAAACTAATTGTTATTCAAGCTTAATTATTATTGACGACACATTGTTCTGCAATTTCCTTGACTGTAATCATGTTGTGTGTCTGTAACAAATAAGTGTCCGTGTGTGATAAGCAATTGTCTGCAAAGCAGTGCGACTGGCTTTCTCATGCCAGACCAGCGCCATTTCCCTTCCCTTTATTCTTATTCACTAGGTTTAACATTGACCTGCATTATTGCGTGAATACATCTTTAGCTAAGTAGGAGTCAGTAAAATATTTTGCATACTAAAAAACCATCATTTCACAAAGGAATGGTATTTTCCACAGTTATATATAACTTTTTCCAATTCAGATTAGTAAATCTGTAATTCAAGAATATTTATGGATAAAGACACAACAAATTTACCATAAAAGGCCCAAATTTAACGATCTAAAGTAAACAATTATTGAGAATAGATATTAAAAACAAAACATACCATTCTTTTAATTAAGCCTAAAGCTGTTTTAAGGTCCAATTAATCATTTTTTTCACTAATAAAACGCAATATTTGTATTCAGATTAATCTGACAGATGATCAGAGCTTTCACTTTATAATTTGAAGTTTTGTTGAAAATGAAGTTCAAACTTGATTCATGATTCAGTATATTATAGCTAATTAAACCTTTATTCATAAATATACATATTTAAAGAAATGCAAGAATGAATGTGAATATATAATATATATATATATTGTAGAAGAGGTGATTGTAAACAGAGTTTAGTATTACTGTGTTTACTGCTAATAGAGAAGAGAATACAGAGATTTATTAAAGGCTAGAAAATTCGATATTTTCCACAGCTGCTTCCATTGTGTACAACTGGAGTACACAACCAAAAAACAAACCTCTGTAGTCAGGATATTTAAGTATCCTTGGGATACAAAAACAAAACCTTCAAAAAATTACTAAATTCAAAAATTTTATTTTCATCTTATAAGTTAGAGTATTATTATAAAAATTGTAAAACTTAACCCCTGAATGGTATTATATGCAACAAGTGGCTGTTAGATGGAAGTCAAAAACCTTTTGTAGAAATGTAGCATGTAGTGCCGGGATAGTTTATGAGCAGTCGGTGTATATCTTTTCTGTGACCGGGTGGTACAAACATTGGACGGTACAAACCTAAGGCTTACAAAATGTCAAACCAGTACAAAGGTTAGACAGTATAAGATATACAAATATCGGACTGGTACAATACATCATACAAAGGGACAAAAATTATTTTAATTTAGATTTATTTGATTTTTCAATCAGGATAAGTAGAGGAAATTCAAATTTAACATTACATGGATTCCATAATTTTTAAAAGTATTTCTATTTTTTTTTTAAACTTATGATGTTTTATATGACATATAAATGATTCATACTAAAAATTCAAGTAGATAATTTATATTTTTTATTTTATTTATTTTATTTTGTTTAGGATTTTAGTAGCATAAACAAAGGAACCCAATGTGAGAGTTTTAATAAGTTTAAAAAAAACGGAAAAATCCTGAGATCAAAAGGTTAAAAATGTGATAGCTAGGGTTTCCTTTCTTGTCTGCAGGTCTGCAGAAGGATCAAGGAGCTAATGTCCTTGGTGCACTAGGGTTGATAGTCCTAAGCCTAAACAAACAGCCAGAAGAAAATCTGTGGCAGTACAAACTTTGGATTGGATTTGGGGGTCTGTAGGAGTTTAGTAGACTTGCAAATCTTGGATCAGGAAGCAAAATTCCCATTATAGCTAATAAAAAATAAAAATAAACAATTAAATGAAAAATGAAAATTTATAACATTAAGATGGAAAAAATTATTGAAACCAAGACCTGGAACAAAAGAGGAAATGAAGGAAAACCGGAAGAAAAAAACAAGAAGAAATGCTAACATGACTAGTCAATGAAATAGTGGAAGATAAGATAATTTTTTATGAAAGAGTAATTAAGTGATGAAAATGTGATAGAAAATATGTTTTGTAAGATGTTTTTTTAAAGAGTGGTAATTAATGACAAAAATATTCAGAAAAATGGGTACTGCTTGCAAATTCTTCATTCAAGGTTTTTTCTTATATATCAGTTCTTTCATCATCAAGTGAAAACAGTTCAGTATGGAATGGTAACCAAGATGTTTCCGAATAAGAGAATGGAAACCAAAGGAGAGACAAGTGTTAAAAATAGAGTTGAAGAACCGAGTAATAAAGGAAACCAAGAACTGGTGAATCCAGAAGGTATTGATTTAAGAAAGAATTATCAGTCTAATTACTTATCAAGGTTATTAAAAAGAATTGTTATAAAAATATACAAGTTGATTTGGAAAGTTGGCGGAAATGCAGTGGTTAATTTTGTCTTTTTTTAATTACAAAATTATGATTTGAATCTGTTTAAAATTTGGTTGTTTAAGCAACACTCAGAATTTGAAATATAACTAGGGTGTGAAAAAAAATAAGGTTTTAGAGATTTAAGTTTTCAGTAAGATTTAAGGGAAGAATAAAAGGGAAGAATAAAAGGAAATTTAAAAGATTGAACCTGAGAAGTTGTTCAAGTGATGTTATTGGTTCTAAAAGATATAATAATAGAAAGATTTGAAAGAAACTGGAAACCTAGACCTAGAAAAGAGAATATGACTGGCGAAAACAATTCCAAGGACATGAAGACGATAAAGATGCGAAGACGATGAAGAACGCGAAAAGAAACAAAACTGAAGGTAGCTAAATTTTTTCTCATAGTAAATTAAAATAATATAAGGATTTATAAGAAAATATTTTAAATGAACAATTTATTTTTTGTTGAGATTGTAGTAGATTCCGTATTGTTAGCTGCAGTGCAGATCCTTACTGGAAACCTAGACCTGGAAGTGAAGTTACTATTGGCCAAAAGGTTTGCAAGTGCTGTTATCTGTCACTCTTAATATAAAGAGGTAAAGAGTACAATTGTGTTAAACAATACATTTTTTCCTATTACAGGATTCTTGTCAACAGGATGATGTATACCAGCATATACAAATATACCCTGAATCTTATCTTGTGAAGATCCCTGTGGATACATACTATGGTTCTCTTGAACAAGGGATATCACATTGTTCACAATTGGGTATCAGGTTAGTTTCGTTAGTTTCGTTAGGATGTTATTATATTAATAATAATGATAATAATAATAATAATAGTAATAATAATAATAATAATGCAATTTTAAAATTAATTTAAATTATTTTGTTGCAGAACCATGTGAGGATTATAGAGTAATAATTCTACAACATATTTAATTAATTGATTTATTAATATTTAAACATGTAAATAGATTGTTTAATGATCTGCATATATTTTGTTGTTTAGCTAAGGCAACCCTGGGGTCGTCCTCAAGAAGCATCTTTTGGACATCATGTCTTGTTCTTCACAAGTCGCTGTGAAGTCAGGGCGTTCACAGGTTTCCCAAAAAAAAATTGTTTTTGGAGGGGGCAATTTCCTAGTGCCCCCCTCCACAGATTTTTTCTCTTAAAGATGCTTCTTGAGGATGCCTTGAGGACGTCCTACCGAAGAGAATTTTTTTTTTGCGGGGGGGGACCCTGTGTACACCCTGAATTGACAGCGATCGTGAAGAACCAGTCAGGATGTCATAAAAAATTGTTTGAGGACGCCCTAAGGACCTCCTCTGTAAGTAAATATAAGATGAGTTTAGGGGGGGGGGTGGAGAACAGCTTTAAAACAGCTGCCAGAGAAACACATGAGGGGAAACAAAGACAAAAATACGGACATATACATGGGACCCCTGCAGAGACAAATGCCATAAGAAACCTGATATCCCAGTTTATGAACAGCGTCCTGAACCTCATCTTTCTGGTCAAAATATGACTACCTCTTAAGGAGTGATTGTGGGTCTTACGGAGGTCCTATCCCCATGTCTTGTAAGTAAATTTTAGACCTCCTTGGTCATCTCCCCTTCTTTTTTGGTAATCATGAACTTTGAGTCCATCTATTTCTTAAGCTTAAAAGAAATGTCTTCAATCTGTTACAAATTTGATATGACAAAAGTTATACTATGGAAAATAAGAATAGCAACTTCCAATGAACAGCTGTTTCAACCTAAATACCAAACCAAACCTTAACCCCAAGGTCAAGGGCACCACTGCCATTTTCTTAATTCAATTTCTTAATTCTATTGAAATGTCGCAAAAACATTAATTTAAAGAGACCCAGTATATTAATTGAATCATGTATAGATGATAGTTTATACTTCTGCTCTGATAATTTCATAAAGCAACCTGATGTTACATAACCGTGAGCACAATTTAAATACTTTTTTACAACAATAATATTTAAAACATCATTAAAATTTTTTAACTATCTATCAAGGCCATGACTAAATCATTAAGCCAACCTTTGTGATTCACCATGAACACAATGAATAATAGTCTGTGAAGAATCAAATGGTAACTAAATATATTTCAGAGAAATGTCTGACAACGTTGAATGTCCAGAGGATTTTGAGGAGAATTTTACTGGGATGGAGAATGCTTTTGCACTGTTTCTGAAAGGGACTGAGGTAATGGGTGGAAACATGTGCACTGTGACGGTGTTTATCATCCACCCTTCTTACGGGATAACTTTTTTCCCTCAGAAAGCAGTGCAACTGTGTTTTCTATTAAAGCTTTTGATCCCTCTTACTCCTACCCCCCCCCTCTCCTACATTTATCGCCAACTTTTTTCCTATAATCCATTAAGGATTTTGTCCTACAAGGACTTTCTCTTCGATAGTAAATAATCCTAAACCATTAGCCATTGAAAAATAGTTAGAATTCTCAAACCATCTTTTAGGTTTTTTCTCTTTCTTTCTATTGTAAAATTTTAAATTAATTACAAATTATACAGAAGAAAATTTAAAAGTGAGTTAAAGGTCCTAAAAAGTAAAAGTAGAGAAATGAAAAGACCTTTGTTTTTTCTCTAACAGCTTATTCTGACAATTTGTAAAAATGTCTCGTTTTTGACAGGAAATATTGTATTTATTTGAAATTAGTTGAGGTAGTTTGAAGTTGAAAGTGGATTACTATTCCAGGGGAAATTAGTTTTCAAAACAAACACTTTGCCCATTTCTATCACTGAGTGTTAGAAATGGGCAAAATATACTTATTAAAAATTAATTAATTATAATTTTGATTTCAGAAAATAATTTAACTATGGGAATAGTTTTGCTGGTCAAGCTCAATAAAATGTTGGTTATAGTTCTTAGTATCAACTTTTACTCTGGATATCGGCCAGGATCCTAAAAACCCAATCACTCAATTTGTGCCCTATTTTAACACTAAGTGTTAGAAATGGGCCAATGGGAAAATGTAAGAAAAAGCCCAAAAATATTGTATTAAAAGTTCCTGAAAGAGCCCAATTTTTCATAAAAGCTCACAGAATCCATTTTTTGACAGTAAAGAAGGAAGTCAGAATTTGGAAAAAATCAAAAAAAAATTAGATTTAAAATTTTTTTCTTTTCAAAATCACCAATATGAAAAATTTACAAGATGCAGCTCAATATATTAAACTTTGATGCTAAATTCAAATGTGAAATTTAATAAAATTCTTGTTGATTTAGTTAGAGCATTAAAACTCAACACAAAACATTACAAATGGTTAAAAAGCATTTTAGACTGTTTTTTGGCAATCAATTCTTTATAATTCATTTTTTCATTAAAATTCTTAAACAAGTTTAAATCTGAATTTCAGCATAACAAATCCAAGAAAATGAGGTATCACAGATCAGGTAAATGTTGATGCAGGGTTGAGTGTCCGGGGCCCGGGCTTCTGACAAGTATATTCGTGCAGCAATGTTCATGTAAAATAGCACAATGGGCGTAAAGGACGAAAATATTTGTATTTCCATGATTATTGTTACAAAGTTCTAGCCACGCTCCCTCCCCGGAACCACTTGACACACTGTGGAAATATACAACAACCCAAAACTCAACAGCTCGATTGATTGATTAACTCGAAATATACAGCTACATCATATATGCAGCTGACTGTTAAGTAAATTTCTTTTAAACAATATAGACAGGGCGGTCCACGCCAATGATCCCTATTTGACTATGAGTACCTGATCTCCAACATGAATATACAGGGTGTCCCACGAAACATGACAATAGGAAGACGACTTGAAAGTCGTCTTTGGTATTTGAATTTATTTGTGACATTTAGTCTTCTATCTACTTTAACATGTATGATTCTTGAAACAATTATCACATAATTCTCCTAGCCCTGGCATTTCCAAAAAGTGGTCTGCGTTTTTTGTGCTTTCAATATTACCGGAGATATAAAGAGTTTGGTTCAGATTTCAATTTTGTTAAATAAAAGCAAAATTGTCGAAATCTGAACGAAATTCTTCATATCTCGGGCAATATTGAAAGCACTAAAAAGGCAGATCACATTTTGGAAATGGCAGGACAAGGGAAATTTTGTGATTATTATCTCTAGAAATTTACTTCTAAAATTAGATTGACAAATAAACGTAGCAAATTATATCAAAAATCAAGACGACATTCAAGTCGTCCTGCATACTGTCATGTTTCGTGGGACACCCTGTATATTAATGCCTAAAACTATATAAGATAGAAAAAGTATGTAAAAATATTTATAGGGTAGTTTAAAACTAAGGAAAAGGTTTTACATACAACCAGAAAACCATGAAATAGGAAGACGACATTATAGCAATATTTATGTGTATGTTATATTACAAAACAAATAATTACAAAACAATTGCTGTGTTTACAATTCGTTGTAGTATTTTAATTCATATCTTTTCATAAGTTATTTTTACATGTTTAGATTTTTTTAAAAACCGATTTTGCTTAGCTTTTAACTATTTTATATTTTTCTCTTTTGATCAAATATTTTTTCTTCTCGGATTCACTTCTTTTCTTCATTTTCTCAATTTCAGCAATTCCAGCTGTTCTTTAATCTGATCCTTTTCATTACCTACTTCACCATTATTATTGATTTCTTTGTCTTCTTCACCATTATTATCATTATTATTTTCATCATCTTCTTCATCATCATCATCATTTTCATCATCTTCCTCGCCATTATCATTTGTATCACCAATATTTTCAACTTTTTCTTCTCCAGTATTTAGAAAATGTTCCAAATCCTCATCAATCAAAAGTTTTCTAAAAGATTCAACAGCTAGGTCAATGTAATCAGGTTTTCCCATAATCTAAAATATAAATATAGGAATCAAGAAATCATAAAATTACATATAATTAAACTAATCAACAATTTAAATTACACAAAAGTATCTTTTAAGTTTCTTATTTTTTTTACGGATTAAACAGTGTTCCAAATAAAACAATAAATTGAGAGACGACTGCAAGATTGTCTTCGATGTTCGAATTCTTTAAAATGAAAATCCCTGTGTAAAAAAGGTCTTCTTCTACAGGGAGTCTCGATTTGTAGCGAAAAGGAAAAATCGTTTTGCGAAATTTGCTTAAATTTTGTTTCGCCAAAAGATACAAAATTTTGCAAAAAAGTTTGCGAAATACGGACGAAAATTTTTGCGTTCTTTAGATTTGTAAACTGGAATACTGAAATTATTGTGTTCATGAAAAAATGCCTCATGGATCGAAGACTATAAAAGTCATCATATTATTCCCATGTTTATTGGGACACACTGTATCTATACAAGGACAAAGATAATAGATACAATTCTCCAGAAATATTTTTTTTTGTTTAAATGTCACACTTTCGAGATTTAAATCATCTTTGATAATTTTTTAGTAAAAAAGATGCAGAAGGAACAAAAATATCCAGCACCAGAGTACTTTAATCGCTGTACAGTAAGCAATAAGGTATTCCGGATAAAATCTCAAGAAGACGACATTTAGTTTTGCAAAATCTATGATTAGTGACTAATAATAATTTTTAATCATTTACCTTCAAAAATCCCCTCATTGAATAATCACGGTCTTGATTGACCACATCATCAAATCCAACTTTTAAATAGTAATTTATTACTTCAAAACTTAAACCTATGTTGATGTAATTAGCTTGCAGCGGAAATTTTGTCCATGACTTGTCAAAAACTTGTATTCACACTCTTACGATTTTACTTTTATAAATACCATCTTTTTCTAAATACAGGGTGCGTTTGTCATTTGTAGACAAAATGAAATATCTCCAAAACTAGGACTGAGTCAGTTAAGAAAATAACTAACGTTTAAATAAAGGAATCGGAAGTGTTTTAAAATAACAAAACTTGCCGAAATTAAAATATAATTTTGTTTAATTTGATGTTTTTAAATCTCGTTTTCTGATATTTCCCCGGCTGGTTTGTTGAATTTTGTGCATTTTGATGTTTTTTACGTGTTTTGATGTTTTGTCTTCAAATTTGTCCACATATTTTTGCACAAAATAATGGTTAACGGCTCGTTAATGGCTGGCACCATTAACTATTTCTAAAATATCTACCAGTAACGCCGTTAATGATATTGAGATTGTTAAAACACGGTAACTTTAAAAAAAATACCGGAAGGCGAACGTTCCGTACATTTAGCTAAAATACTTAAAAATATTTTTAGGGTGTTTAGTTTTCCATTAAATAGCATTTTGCAGTGGCTAACACGTGTACCCGAACTGTGAAGTGAGTGAAGGCGTTCATGATGTTTGTGCTGGGTATGCCCCTGAACACCTTTACTATGGAGGATGCCTTCTATCCACATCCCACAGCGCCCAGGACCAATCAGATCAGTCCCAGAATTGTCACTATAAGATTCTCGGTGCACTAGGATTCAGGAAAACGTGCTTTTTTTAAGATAAAGAACACGCACGTTATTTACGACCATATACACTTTAGGACCCGGGCCTAGGATTTCGTTAGATAAATATATTTTTTTTATTAAAAAAAAACTCCATTTTAAATAGTTTTTGGTGAGATTTCAATTTGGTCTACAAATAATAAACGCACACTCTGTTTGATTAAATTAAAAGTTTGTTAGTGTTTAGAACTGTAATTCTACTTTTGACAAATAATATTCTTGAATTCACTAATATTGCACTGAATATTGTGTTATATTAATATTATATTATGTTGTCAAAAAATTTGAAATTATTTATAATTGACTGTTATCTCCATCACAAAGAATTGACTATATGCATATTGAGATAATTTAACTATCAAACAAGGAGAACACAATTGAGCATGCAAAACATAGAGGACAGTGAGAAACAGAACACTTGGACTAAGAAAACGACTTTTAGGCTTAAGCCTAGATAAATTAGATTGTTCATGTCGTCTTCACCATACCGGAGGGAAACAGTTGAAATTGAAAATGACAATTTAGCTATGGACTAGCTACTGACATACAGTACATTGGATATAAAGGTTTGCGGCAAGTATATTTGTACTCTGTACAAATTTATGGGGGTTTGTTTACAAATATTGCAGACATACTAGATAAAAGTTGAATTTTAAAGGATTAGAACGAAGATTAGTTGCTGCTTTCTACCGATATGTGAGTGATAATGATGACAATCAGACTCCCCTTAAAGTTGGAAGACATTTCAAACTATTAAATCTCTTGGGATGATAGCGATACTTTGGTGAATTCTATGTGTCAACAATCAACAAGATATCCAATTGTGACACATGTTTCTAAATCCATTTTTTAAGGAATTTTTAAAAATATCATTTTTAAATCTGTAGCTTTAGTCACAAGAAAGTTAAGGGCCATTTTAGATTTTTTTTACACAGACCGGACTTTTTACCGCCCTGTACCCTACCCTATGCATTAAAAAAATTGACAGAAAAATCCTTTAGATTAACTATTGATTAAAAGTCACAAAATTTCACGGTAATAGTGACAAAAATGAGAGTGCTAGGACAAAAAAAAACTATAGGGCCGGCCAAGCCTGTTTAGGGTTAAAAGCTAAAATAGTTGATGGGTGAGGCCTAGTTTTTATTAAACTTCTTTAAATAAATAAGTAAAAAAAATACTCTACAGATTGACCCCGAGAAGTAAAACGTATTCAATGACCTTTTCAAATGACAAGTTCATGATGTACAAGCTGGGTTGTACAATTTTCAGCTTTACAGTCTGCATGAACAATCTACTCTAATTTATCTAGGGGCTTAAGTTATGGTTTTATTAGTCCAATGTACATAAGAAACACACTGTAAACAGACAAATGGATGGAAACAGAATATGGCAAAGAATTGACTTGTTTCAATATGAGTATCAATGGCATTAACAGAAAACTATAATTGTCTTCATCTCAAAATTAAATTCTGAAACTTTTTTGAATAGTTTCTTTATTCATGCAATTCATTTCCGAGATTGATCACGGAACTCGATTCTTTTTTTTAGGAACATGCGATCTATAAAAAATGAATAAAATTAAAAGATTTTATTTTGCTAATTATGGAATTCTATTCCAACCTTATAAAAGAATCTGATTCCCATTTTGCTTAAATTAAATGTAAGCAGAAAAAAAGTTAAAAGAATTCTTTGTAAAATAACTTCTTGGGAATCTAATTCTACAGATCGTGTAACGTCAAACTTTTTATAGTAGACTCTAAGGTTAATTCACATTGTACTCTGGGGCGCGTAATCAGAATAAATCTTGAAACTCCAACTGTCGGGTCGGAATCAGGTTTAGTTATTGGAGAAACTTTGATTTCTTTGTTTCCAAAAAATATTCCCTGCAATCCTGGAATCAGGTTTCTTAATAATTCATTAATTGCCTGTATACCGATAATAAAAAATAATGATTAAAAATTATTCAAGGTTATTGCAGTAATTGCGCAGAGTGCTCTTTATAAAATTCCGCAGAGTGCATAGACTATTTCGCTTTATAAAATTCCGCAGAGTGCACAGACTATTTCGCTTTCGGTTTCAAGGAACCTTCCATTTAAAGAGGGGCGTATTCGATTCACAATGGTAACCTTCAAACATTTGACCGATCAAGGATGTCATAAATATTATAAATATCCTAATCTATTGAACAGTTCTTAATTGTTAAGCTTTGCACAATTAAGAAGTATCATTAAATAAAATGAATAGCAGAATATAAAAACTTGAATGTTTGAAACCCGCTTTTAACACAAAAAAGGGATATTTTTAAGTTACGGATCAAGTTTGTTGACTTCAAACTGTACAGTGTACAGACTGCATAGCAGCATACACCGGATCAAACGAATCAACGAATCAATATGCTTTACAAGATAATTACTCACATAGCTCTCTCAATCTGAAGAACAGCTCAAAGTTTAAAGGTTACTGTTGTAATGTAAAAAGGAAATTTCCCTCTGTTCATGGAGGGTTACTTGAAATAACGTTTTCAGTCTATTTCAGCTAATAGTAAAGCTATCTGAATTGTATAAACAACCCATACAGTGTAATTATTGTTTAAATGTCATTTTTCAATTCCACAGTTTTCTGGTTCTGACTGTATGCTACAGGTTTTGTATAAACATTTGACAGTAATGTATTAGTATGGAATAATGAGCAATATATTTACAATTATCCACAGAATGTTTAAAAAAAATCGGTTAATAATTTCAGACAAAATCCACGTCATTGCAAAAAAAAATTTTGCTAATATTTTCTTTTAACGAAAATTTTAAGGTTTCTTCTACCCATGCCATTTGTTGAAGTTTAATGATAAAATCACTAATTGGCTTTTTTTAAATAGTCAAATATATTTTGATACTTTAATTTATAAAAAATAAACGAAACCTAAAAGTTGTTTAATGTGGTTACAATTAACCTTTAAAATAAAATAGTTGAAATAATTGTTAAATATGTAGACTTTATTCTGGTTGTTTGACCTGTTTCTATAAGGTAGTGCTTGGAGTGCACAATGCCTCCTGTTAAAACCACGAGCAAAGCTTGAAACATTCTTCTGATAAAAACAAATAGAAAATTTATTTTTAATTTGTTTTTTGACGCCAAAGTTTAAACTTGGAGGCAGAGCAAACATTAAATCTAAATACAGTTTATTCAAATATGCAAATAATTTGCTATGCAATGTGGAAGAACCCCGGTGTCACGTGATAAAGTGTCCGGGTACTGTGTTTAAGTCTTCAACATTAAATTAAAAAATATACAACTATAATAAATAGATTCGTTTACATTTTAAACGACTATTTTTTACATAACTTTTGAATGTGCAAGGGTTAAGTTAATTTATTCGTGTTTTTAAATTATTTGAAAAGAAGACGACATTCGAGACGAAATATTGTTTTTTACATATTTTCTGGTTTAGCAGAAAGCTACATTCAAAAACTAATTTAACGATACGTTTACGTTCAGAACATGTTTATCAATGCATTCATAATTTGATATTGGGGGGAAAGTGTCCAAATCATCAAGAAGTACCCATCTATCCTGACATTATTTTACGCCAAGACACTTCATCACGCCTCACCGGAGCCAAAAACTATTCGACTAACTGTACTTTAAAACATTTGTAATAACGTAAAATGTGAAAACTGTTCAGATTTTTATGATCCTCTTTTATACAAATACAGTAAGATCCTTAAAACTCGGAAATAAAAAGACGACATTTAGATTTGATAGAAGGTTATACAAACATTGTGTATACTTAAAAATTGCTGTCATATATTAAACAAACTATTTGAGAAGTTATAACTTCCTCTTCAGAGTTTTTGTTTTCACTGCACATAAAGACCAAAATTGAAAAAATAATAATTTAGAATATTTTCTATATTTGTTCTTTATTTTAACAATAAGTAATTATTTAAAGATAAAGAAAGCTTGAAGATAAAAAACAATCAATATGTATTATTTCATTCATTACTTCATGAGCACTTTGCATCCTTTTCTCATAGTTAAGTTTTTGATAATTTATATATATCCTTTGATTGCCTGAACACGTCTAAACGGGTGAACCGATCCTACCCACATTTTTGTGGGACCTCAGATGATCCCAGGGAAGGTTTATGAATTATTTCAATTGGAAAAATTTGACTTCGCAAAATTGAGATTGTTTAAAATTCACGAAAAAAATCGATAAAAGATCAACACTTAAAAGCTAAAATCGAAAACGGGCGCAAAGCTTCCTGGAAGCCACAGTAATTTAGAATTTTCTTCTGAGTTCCTTTATATTTATTTCAGGATTGATAAAGTTCTATAATGATTATTTCTCAGAATTAATTGAACATATTATGTTCTAGCAAAATTGTTCATTGAAAGATTTTAATAGTTATAACTCTAATAAATGTTTGAAAAGCTAAATTAAGGTTATAATCAATACAATCAATGCATACTAGGCTTTTAGTTTTCTTCGCTTCCCTTTACTATTAACAATTTTAGCTTTTAACTGTTGTGCCGAAATTTGAAGTTTTTTTCACGCTCCAAAAATGTAGCGGATTTTTCCGATTTAATTAGCGCATAATTATAAAAAACATAATAATTGTCAACCTTTTTTAACAGAGGCAACATTTTTCATTTTCAAGGGTCCATTCCTGGGGTCATGCGAGTCACAGGCAAACTAGCCAATTGATAGATAAAAATATCTAAATAAGATCTTTCTTATAGATCTTTCTTATAGATCTTTCTTTAAAATCTTTCTTATAGCATTCTTATAGATCTTTCTTATAGATCAGAAAAAGCTTTTATGGTACTGTTGTTAATATGACATTCCGCTTCGTAAATTCAGGGTGACATGAATCGAACTCCGCCTACTGTCCCGTTAAAAACTTTTTTTGCTAAACTGTAGTTGACGCCTTGTAAAACAAAATAATATTACATATCACTTTTAAAACTTGTGAATTTGAAACAGTATAGTTTAACAATAATTATGATAATATGTTCAATTAAACTGCCGATGAATGACTGAATGAATATTGACCTTGAATAATCAAATGAAAAGGGAGAAATATAACATCCTTATGGAATTCTATTCCAACCTTATAAAAGAATCAGGGAGAAATATAACATCCCCCCAACAGCAGAATGTAGAATATTCTGCTTAAAGGGAGAAATATAACATCCCCCCCAACAGCAGAATGCAGTAGAATATTCTGCTTAATGGGGAGAAATATAACATCCCACCCAACAGTAGAATGTAGAATATTCTGCTTAAAGGGAGAAATATAACATCCCCCCCAACAGCAGAATGCAGTAGAATATTCTGCTTAAGGGGAGAAATATTACATCCCCCCCAACAGCAGAATGTAGAATATTCTGCTTAAAGGGAGAATATAACATCCCCCCCAACAGCAGAATGTAGAATATTCTGCTTAAAGGGAGAAATATAACATCCCCCCCAACAGCAGAATGTAGAATATTCTGCTTAAAGGGAGAAATATAACATCCCACTCAACAGCAGAATGAAGAATATTATGCTTAAAGGGAGAAATATAACATCCCACTCAACAGCAGAATGTAGAATATTCTGCTTAAAGGGATTGTTCATTTATTTCAACACACTCATTATATCCCAGATCTATCTTCCAATCTCTATAAACGGATTTATGAAGCAGAGACAATGCAGGAAATTGTCTGAATAAGAACGATGTATCTTTTTTTGCCTTGAAGTTTCAGTCACGTGTTTGGTCACGATTCACGATTCTATCTATATATATCTCATCATCTTATTAAAGATAACTCCTGAAATCAGTGTTAAACAGAAGTGGAAATGTGTACTTCTAACAAGCGTTGTTAATTGTTTTTGAAAACGACTCACTCGTTTTGAACTTTCAAAAGCGAATAACAATCGTTTTTAAAAGGACGCACTCGTTTTGATTTTTCACAAAGCAAATAACGATCGTTTTTGAAAATGATCGTTTTTAAAAACTATAAGCGACTGTTTTATATAGGATCGTTTTTCCAAAAAAATGTCATTAATAAATATGAATTTTTCTTTCTTTTATTTTGTAAAAGAACACATTTCCAGTAACATTAAAGTATTTTTCAAACATTTAAAAATTATATTTAAATATCATTTCGAACATAAAAAATATTTATTGTTTTATGTTTAAATTATCTGTTTCTTATGCATTTGAGAGAATATAAAGATTATTATTGCCATGCTTTTACACTGAACAAAATTAATCGATTCAGAGTGATTAGTAGAATAAAACATCGTTTGTTATGTTAGTCTGATTCAAGAACTTTATATGTAACTCTATTTTCTTAAAGAGATTAATTGTGTAAAGGTATAAATTACGTGATTAAGTTGCAAGGTCTGACTTTAAAGATTATGTGGTTTAGTACAGCAAAATTAAACAAATGTAATTTAGTTAAAAGTTTTGAGATCTGCATTCTTAAGTTATTAATATAAAATGCGTTAAAATTATGTATCAATCATGTAGGAAGCATGTTTTATACTTCGTTTTAAGAGAATTTATTATTTTCTTTCAACTTTCGTAAAAGAATCGAAAATTTAGATTTTGATCATAAGCAACAAGGTATGTTTCGTCGTTTTTTAAGTAAATATTTCAAATTGAAGATTGTGTCTGTAAGTTTGAGTAAAGTGGTATATAAAACTTGAAGCAAAATGGTCAACTATAAAAATCAGCTTCCCAAATATACCTAGAGTTTAATAAATACCAAATCGTAAACCCCAGGGTTCATATTTGACTTAGTAGAGTCATCTTTTATTTTAAGAATAACATCCATAGAAGTCTGATTTGATTAGTTATTGGAAAAGATAATGATTGATAATTAATACATGAAAAATAATTAATTCAAAACGACAGATCATTAAAGAACTGTTGTCATCAAATGTACAATCATTATTAAGAAGGGTCGACGTTAACGAAGTGTCATCGTTAACAATTGTCAACGAAGGTACGTCGTTAACGAAACGACGAACTTTTTAAAAACGGTCGTTTTGAGGACAACATTCTCTACTAGCCATCCTTGAAATAATTCATATTTTGAGTCAAAAATGATATAAAACTTTTATTAGTGAAATCATAAATTCATTTTTATTGTCAATTTTCAATTTGACTTTTTTTAATGGAGATGAGGATTTTTTACAATAAAGTCACGAAGATGTTGTGCAGACATTTAAGTAGCGGCGGGGGTCCAAATCGCAAATTCACTGTAATAAGTGTATTTGATTTTTCTCTGTAAAATATAAACGATGTATCGCTGTATAACTGGTGTTAAACATTCAGAATTTAACAGTAATGAGCCAATGAGAATTAATCAAAGTTATGAAAATATCATGTCAATGTGTTTACAGGTTCAATACTAAATGGTGTAAGTTCCGATGCCGAATTTAAAGAATTCGAGCCTTTTTTCAAACTTGAGATGCGGCTCAAACATGGTTGGGCCCACTTGAAATTGTTTCAAGATTTGAGTCAACGCTCAATTTGAACTGGTTTTTGGAAATAGAGTTACGCGGTTTTAATTCTTTAAATATATGACTTCTAAAAACTTAGTTTGATTTATAGTAAGCTTCATTTAGAATCAACGCAAGAAATCGTCTATTATTTCATGAAGAATTTCATGAGTGTTTTCTAAAAACACAAATAAGTTTTTTTTTCAAAATGAATAAAAGGAATATGTTTAAATTGTAATATTAAACATTCGAAGCCCCTAATAATAACTATTTATAACACTGTTATTTTGGTTTTAATTCTTTAAATTGATATTAAAGAATATATCAATTAGTTGTAAGAGCTTAATCTAGAATCAACGCAAGAAATCGTCTATCATTTCATTTTATAAAAACACAAATAAGTTTTTTTTTCTAAATGAATTAGAGGAATAAATTAGATTGTAATATTAATGTAATATTTATTACACTGTTATTTTGGTTTGCAGTGTTGTAAAGGTTTTGGAAAATGAGGGACAAAATAAAATCTAAAAAGAAGAGAACTGTCGAGATAAAGAGAAAATTTAACTCCAAAAACTTTTAGCAC